GGTGTGACGGGAACGGGCGCGGGAGTTGCTGGGGTGGGCCCTGGGGTAGAAGCTGTTGGTTGGGGAGTGGAAGGTGTAGGCCCTGGGGTAGAAGCTGTAGGCTCTGGGGTTGATGCTGTAGGTTCCGGAGTGGATGCTGTAGGCTCTGGGGTGGACACTGTAGGTTCTGGAGTGGACACTGTTGGTTCCTCGGTAGGCTCTGGTGTAGAAACAGTGGGCTCTGGTGTAGATTCGGTAGGGTACTCGGTAGGGGAATCCGTAGTAGAGATTGTGGGAGCGGGTGTGGAAATGGTGGGTTCTGGAGTGGAGATTGTGGGAGCGGGTGTGGAAATGGTGGGAGCGGGTGTGGAAATGGTAGGAGCCGGGGTCACGGGCGACTGAGTGGGAGTCGCCGTACCCGGACTGGCATCTCCTTCGGCCACTCGCAAGACCACATTCAAGCTTTGTGGTTTTCCCAAACAATCAATGCTCTGCAGTCGAGCAATTTTCGCCAACCGTTCTTCCACCTCTTCGGCCAACTTGCCCCAATTGGCAATGGACGATGTGCCACAGTCGGTGGTTTTGACCGTCATGCAACCCCATCGACAATAGTCTTCGGTACACGACACGGAACCTCGAGTGGGACAAATGGCATCGAGTCGAGGAGGGTTGGGATTGACTACCCGACCCAAGATTCGTCGGACTTCGTTATCTTGATATTCCATATTGTTGACTAATTGTGCTTCATCAAATTCAAAGTCTCCAAATTCGACCGTGCCAATCCAATCGGTCACGACGTCAAAGAACTTGTCATTGAGCACCTCGGGAATACTCTCTTTAATTTCCGTTTCTTCGCCATTGGAACATTCGACCAGTCCGTCTCGAAAGTCAATTTGGACATCAAGACTAACAATGTAGTCTTTGGCATTGTCGTCGCAACTGGGTTGCTGCAAATCTCCTGTGGTGGGAGCAGAAGTGACAGGTGAGGTTGTAGTGGGTGCGGGAGCACTATTATCAGTCGGACTAGGGGTCTCGACACCCGTGGGTGCGGGAGTTGCTGGCTGCGGGGCGGAACTCGTGGGCTGTGGGGCGGAGCTAGTGGGCTGTGGGGCCGTGTTGGTTGGCTGTGGGGCGGAACTTGTGGGCTGTGGGGCAGAACTAGTCGGCTGTGGGGCCAACGTAGTTGGCTTGGGCGTGGCGGGTCTAGAAGTGGGACTAGGGCTGGGACGAGGACTTGGATAAGGCGTAGGACGGGGCGTGGGACGAGGACTGGGATTTGGTGTCCCCATGGTTCCACTCATGCTACTGCCTTTGCCTCCCTTGCCGCTCATCTTGAAACCAGTCGAGTTGGTATCGGTTTGCAGACTCCGTGTCCAAGCCTTCCTACCACGCCGCCCCTTGTTGCCCACAGCACTTCCACTCCTACCACTACTACTAGTATCGCCATCCAACACATCACCACCTAAAGCATCGTACTCACGTTCGGTATTGATTCGAGCAGCAGAACCTTCCAGCCGCCTTTCTCCTCTACCCACTCGGCCATATACAGGACCGAGGCACAGCAGTAGCAGCAGTGCTGTTGCCACCACGGCTAGTGTTGCCATGTTTCGTCTCAGTGGTATCCTCATGTTGGTAGTGTCACTTCCTTCTCTGGCTAGCTAGCTAATGAGGAGTATGAGGAGAGGATAGTTCGAGGGCAGGCTCTCAAGGCTGTTAAGGTTCGGTTGTTTGCTCGAATCTCACGAACGATTGAGTCGGTGAGTTGGGTGCTGGTTGATGGCAGCAGTCTTTTGTGCTTCCTGGGATTGTTGGTTGGGCTTTTTAGAGCTGTTCCGGCTTTGCCTGTTTGTCACGGGTGATGGTTGCTGCGAATAGAAACACCAGTCAGATGGCGCTTAGCAACCAAGCAACCAAGCCAAATCCACATCGCCTTCTGATCTCAGCGTCACGCAACGGCGTTAATTTTGTTGAGTGAAAGGTCATTTTCAAACGAGGATGACCTGATACTGTAAACTCCACCCTCAAAGGCTTTCATGTGGATCCTCTCACATTTAGTAGAGGATGCTCTTAGATGTTCTTTATGCCTGTCTCTAAATCATTAGTTTCCTTGTATCTGCAGTGACGAATGTGACATCAGCATCAAAGTATTTGATACGACTGGTCTCCGTGACTGGTTGCCACCAATCTTGGGCATCCTCGCTGGCTACCAGCCCAAAGACCAAGAGCCAGGCTCTAGGTTTTTTCACCGTTTTAAGAAATTTTTTAGATCGTACAAACTAAGCTATCCAACAGCACAAGCAAGGTTGTCATGTTGCTTCAACAATATCAACACAACAATAAGCTATTACGTTTATATCTAGCTAGTGCCATAGTACCTCAGAGCCTGCTCCCAACCAGGATTGACAGAAATATCACAGCCAGGAGCTAAACAAAGCTTGAAAGCACATTCCATTAGGTAGTGTAAAGCACGACGCTGTTGGTCAGCTAGCACAATAGGCTGGCCATTCTTGGTTCTAAAATTCATCGTTTTGATCCATCTATTGTCGGCTGGTTTGAGATCAAACACCTCTACTAGTTCATGAAGGGAATGAGAATTCTATCTGTGAATGCCTCATGTTTGACCCTGTCAGTCATCTTGTCTCCATTGTTTCTTACAAAAGCAACATATCCCATCTCTCTATTCCCGGCGGTAACACCTCCGCCTCCAATGCATAGACCAGGTATTTCTAGAATCTCAACTCCAGATTCATTGAACAACTCTCTCTCATTCAATCCTGTAACTGATACAAATAGAGGGGCTGTAGTGCCATCCGCAGTCATAACTATGCTGAGCTTCACTCTAATGCCGGTTGCCATAGATTCTTTGGTAGTTCGATAGAGTGATCTCGTTCCCTTGCCGGTATAGGACGAAGTAGCTGTGAATCGAACCTTGTCAATGTTCTCCTTGTTCAATCCTTCAACTAACCATTCTGTTGTATCATCCATGGAAGCAATGTTTGCCTTTTTGACTGGCAACAGAGGAGCCCCCTCGTGCAAGGCACTGATGGTCTTGTAGACATACTTTTGAGAATCACTGGCATGATCATTGAGAAATGTTCTAACCGCTGGAAGCTCTCTTTCTGTTGGCATATAGAGAGTAGATCCAACAAGGCTCGCAAAATCCATACCAGAGCGCATTGAGTTCTCGGCAGTTTCTCTTGTGGGTGTCTTGGCTATAACCCGGGAAGTACAGCTGCTTCCTGAGAGCATTGACAAAGCTCCACCATAATTGGTTACAGTATTTCGACTTGGAGATAAAACCTCGTCTCGAAGGACGGATATGCCACTATCTTCGAGACGCTTCTTTCTAGTCGTCGTAATGATGGACTCTATCTGACTGTATCCCATAGAGCTGCCTTGATTGGTAGACAAATTGGTGGAGACACCCAACACTTCATTCATATCCAAGTATGGTCTGCCACCCTTTGCTGCAAACCAAGGATCGTCAGGGTAGGTATTCAATAAACCACCAGAGGCGATATGCTTGTTGTAGTGGCGTAGCATAGTCCAAACTCCCTTCTTCTTTAAGGGAACCCATTTTTTTTGACTGCCTCATTCAAGATGCTTGTCCTTTCCTTTGACCGGGGAGGAAACGTTGTAACAATTTCAATGAACTCCCGACGAGTGTATTCCATTCCATCAGCGGGTGTAGGGCAACTAACTCCGTCAGATGTGGGAGAAACTGTTTTAGAGGGAGACACTGTTTTGGGTGGAGCTTTCTTGCGAACTCTTGCGGGAGCATCCTGTACTGGAAGGTCGACAATTGCAGAAGGATTCGCCTGTATCTGAAGGCGGACACTTTTAAGATTTCTGTTTCTTTCAGCAGTGGCTAATCTAGCAAGGCCATAACCGAGTCCACCGATAGGAGCAACAGCTTTGGCATCCTTGTTTAGAGTGGCAGAGCATTGTCCCAGATATGTCTGAACTCCTCGGAAGTCGGAAGCAATCTTCTTTCGCTTTGCCAAGCTGAGATTTCCTTTTGAGCCCAGTAGCTCGAGGCCTTGATTGAGAGATTTCTGAGCTTGAGCTAAACCTTTGCCAGTCCTGTGAATGGAAATGGTAGATTCAATCTGACGGTCGATATTGGATTTCCTTTTGGCGGGTGTGATGGTTGGTGTTATCGGTACAGCTTTGGTTTTCCTCGGGTTTCTAGGTTTCATTGGTGTTGGCATGGTGACAGGTAGAGTTGGTTTGGGCTGGGAAAAGGGCTTCACAAGGAGCGACCAGCCATGGAAGCTGAAGAAGAGCAGAAAAATGGAACCTTCCAACTCGCTAGCCACTGAGTAATTTCACAGGCACCAACTGGACTTCTAGATACCACCACTGCGACGGGCACGTTGATATTGACAAAGTTGGTATGGGGAGTAGAGTCAAAATGTTACTTTGGGTATTACAGAAGTTAGCCCTCAACAGAGAGGCTGGGTGTGGCAACAAAAAAATGATGTCCTTTGGCCAAAGGCATCAGCTCTGTTGTCCCGTTTCAATTCAAATCAGCCTCGAGAGGAGAAACGGCTACGGGGAAGAACTGGTGAGCCAATCCCGATTTTTTGGGAAATTCCGTGGTGTTCTGTGGATCCCTCTGGAGGCTCTTGGTTTTGACCGAGGCTCTTGGTTCTTCGAGTGGTAGCTGGAGTTTTGTTGTCGGAGTGGAGAGCATCGTATCGTATGCGTTGACCAGGATTTGGATAGCAACCGAACTAGTAGGAAAGAGTTGCCGTCTAGTTTCTGGATGGAATCTAGCTAGTTAGCCTCCTAGCTAGCTAGTTGGTTTATCAGTGGGCGTGCATGGCTGGTGCCGAATGCACACAACATCAAAGCAATGTTCGTTGCTTCCACGCCCACCCGCTATACTCAGGAAATAAGAAGGTTGGCTACAGTTCGTCCTCAGGCAAGAACGCTGGTCAAAACAGCAGTTACTTTTAGTTGCTTTTGAGCCCCAACAAGTGATTGGCTGACTCTTCGGTGGAGGAAAATTTTGTTGCTTGTAAGGGAGTGGCGTATTGAGCGTGGAAGTGTAGCGTGGAAACAGGAAGATACAAGATACGGGTTGTTCAGTGCTGAGTCACTCAGCCTTCATCGGCGTCATTATTTGTGTTTGGCACTTTCAAGCAACGCAACACACCATGGTGAGTGCCTTCCATCGCAGCGATTTATATTTCACCCTCGGCCTCCTGAGCTAGATACCTAACTGGTGACACGATGCAACCCCTTCTGCCGAAACTCCGTGCTGGCGGCTCTGCCAAATTGTTTGTCTTTGGAGCCACTATCGGACCCGTCGTCGACAGTTTTCACAATCAATGCCTGCTTCGCTATGATTGGGCTCCCATCACGGTGCCTTGGCCCGCAGGACCACTCGGCAGCAGCTTGGCCAGACTATTGGAACAAGAGTATCTCTTGTGTTCCAGTTGGTCCGTTCCTTTGCTCTTGGGGTTTGCCTATGTCGTCCTGGGCGATCTCTTGCCTCGATTATTTCAGTGGATGCTACTACAAATACCCAATCAGCCGTCGCAACAGCCACAACAACAACAACCAACCACACGGCAGTCTGGGAATCTCCGAACCAAAGCCATCTTGGCCGTCGTGACAACGGCTCTCATTATCAAGCTGTCTCAGTTTTTGGAGCTACACGACCCCTTTTTGTCTGCCGATACCAACTATGCCGTGCTGTTGACGGCCACTCTGATCCAATGGTGGGCACTGGATGGCTCTTTGGCCGCCTTGCTGGCCGCTGGAATTACGTCCATTGGTGGACCCTTGTCCGAACTCCCCTTTGTCGCCAATGGATTGTGGCATTACATTCCCGAAGCGGGCGACTACCTGCCGTTGACCAATCTACCGGAGAATCTGGGCAATTTCCTAAAGCCATGGTTGGGCGACAGCTATAGCAAGTTGGCCCTTTCGAGCATTACGGGGCCTTGTTATTTTGCCGTGACCCTGGATGCCATTGCATTGGGCCGATGGTTTCAATCATCATCACGACGAGACGACGACAACCAGGAAAAGCGAGAAATTCAATAGTGATGATTGGTGTGTTTCTTTTAGTGTCTAGAGGTGAGCTTTAAACAATTATTTCAGGGTCTAAGGAGGCGTCTATCCGACACAGACGATTCAGTCGTTCTCTATGGTATTTCTGTACGGAATTATGCTTTCTCCAGGAGGACGGCAATACCCTGCCCACCCCCAATACAGGCAGAACCAATGGAAAGCTTGGCCTTGCTGCCTTCTTGGTGGAATTCATGTGCCAGGTGGGCAATAATGCGAGCTCCTAGATAAAAGGGGGCAAATCAAGAAGAGACAAAAACAGCGTTTAGTTTTGGTCAGAATTCCAATTCCATGTAGTCTAGAGATAGATATCTTTTTGTACGTACCAGAAGCACCCGTAGGATGCCCTAGACTAATGGCGCCTCCATGTAGATTGGCCTTGTCCATATCCACGCCCAACTCCGTTGCACACGCCAAGAATTGAGCGGCAAATGCTTCATTGATTTCCACTCGATCCACTTGGTCAAGACTTGTATCGGCACGGGCCAGTGCTTGTCGAATGGCCGAAACGGGTCCAATTCCCATGATTGTGGGATCGCATCCCGTGATTCCATACGACACGATGCGAGCCAGGGGTTGTAGATTGTGTTGTTGGACGGCTTCTTCGGATGCTACGACAATGGCACCCGCTCCGTCACAAATCCCCGAGGCATTGGCGGCCGTGACGACCCCATCTTTTTGAAAGACGGGTCGTAGTTTGGCCAATTTCTCCAACGTCACGTCGGGCCGTGGATGTTCGTCGGTGGTCAACAGTGTTGTGGTGCCCTTTTTGTTGGGTAGTTCCACCGGAGCCATTTCCGCCTCGAACAATCCCTGGTCGTGTGCTGCCTTCCAATTTTGTTGGCTAAAAAGATAAAAAGAACAGGGTTAGATAAATGACAACAACAACAAGCTCCACATTCATATGATCTCCTCATGTAGTTATAATTACCTTCGGAGTGCAAAGGCATCGCACTGTTCCCTTGTGATTCCATATTTCTCGGCCAATTTTTCGGCCGTCATGCCCATGGATAACTGGACGTAATCATCCTGCAATCCCGCCCACAGACCATCTCGCACCGTGAGTCCCTTACCGAGTGGAACCCCCCACCGGGCATCATTGCCACATATTTGCAACGGCGCCATGCTCATATTTTCCGATCCACCACAGAGGGCCACCTGCGCTTGCCCTAAACGAATGGCATTATACCCTTGAATGACGGCTTCAAAGCCACTGCCACACGCTCGATTCAGTGTCAATGCCGGAGTCGACTGGGCACACCCCGATTGCAACGCCACGTGGCGGGCCAAATAGGCGGCATCTTTGGACGAAGGATTAATATTGCCAAAATAGACCGTGTCGACCAGCAATGGATCCAATCCGGCCAACGCCGCCTTGCTGGAAATGACACCCAATTCGGTAGGAGTAATCGACTTGAGAGAACCACCAAAACTACCAAACGGGGTCCGCTTGGCAGCTACCAAAAAAACACCTCCAGTTTTAGTACCAGCAGCAGCAAGAGACATGGTGGCTGATGGATTATTTGTGTGTTTGTGAGATGTGTGGTGTGTTGGAGGTGGGTGGGAGGATGATGGTTGATGGAACTGTTGATGGATCTTATCTGTTGATGGATCCATGACGCAACGGTCAGTATCCGTGACTGAGGACTCGACTCGAGCAGCGAGAAATTTAGAAACGTGGAAACTGTAAAAGCGTGGAAAGTGGTGGAGTACAGTATTGAAAGAGGGCCAAGGGAAGAAATGATCTGGAAGAGACCCAAGAGACTCAATTTACCGATAGCTAGAAGAGGAACGCAACATGCTGGAAGATGAACGAAAGAGGCTTGTAGAGGAACTGGAGACTATCTGGATGAGGATTGAAAGAAAACGGGAGAGGAATGAACGATGACGGTAGAGGATTGTGACTCCGTATTCCATGGTACCTGGTACTACTACAATCGAGCTACTAGCCAGTTACCTGGAACCGCTCGCGTGAAAGCTTAGCATGGCCGTGGTCCGGCCCATCAATGGACTCAACAAAGAGAGACTGAATGAATCGGCTCTTAGGGTGCGCAAGAACTTGACCCCACATCATTGCTGTCGTTGTGCATTTGATGTCACCTGCTCAAAAGAGAAACTCCCCAGCCACGATGTTACAGTGGTTGTTGTTGTTGTCAAACTAGGATTGATCTCGTTCCTCATATGGGGTACTACTGCCGGTAAAATATGGGTCAGAGCAGATTGTGAATTGGGTACAGCCAGCAGGAATTTTTATACGGTGGCTTTGGCGCCACTTTTTTCGTCGCAAAGACGAATCCAATTTCTGTCCAGAGTGAGTAGCAAAAAGACACATGTTGAGTGCACCCCAATCCAATGGCAGCAATCTATCTAGCTACCGTAGTAACATTATGAAGTACGTACCTCCATCCCTGATTGGTGTGTTTGTACGTGTGCCATTTCCAGTTCGGCCGTAGTGGTTCACTGAGAGCGGACGTGTAGGCAATGGTCCCGTTTGGATTGAGGAGTGCCGGTACAAAGGAGAAACTGGAGAGACTGAGAATGACGACATTGGCTTCCATCATGGTCTTCCATGCATCGGTGGGATCTCCGTCGAGAACTACTTGACAGCCCTTGTCGGTAAAGTCATCAAACGTTTCCAACAATGACTGGGATTCGCTGTAGACGATACATTCGACGGGTTGTTGTTGTTGTTGTCGTGCGGCTTGACGTTGGTACAAGTCAATGAGACTCACATAGTGACTGTTGGGTAGATACCGAAAGGACCAGTGGCCACAGGGATTCACGTCACCACGACGGACATGAACGGCAATCGTGTACTTGTTGTTGTTGTTGGCAGCAGTAGTAGTGTCATTATTCGACTTGTGTTGTTGCTGTTGCCATCGTTTCGATTGTGGTTGTACGTGTCGATGAATATAGTCCAGCCATTCGTCCGTGAAATACTTTGTGGAATCTTCAAAAAAGTCATTTCGTGTAATCATTTGATGTTGCACCGTGCTATTATTACTAGTAGCGGGAGGTGGACACTTGTATTGGAGTAGTGTTTCCAATCCCAGAACTTCCATCATGGCTTGATTGCGCGCTCGATGTGGCGTCTCCCCACACGCTCCTCCAAAAGTCGCACCCTTGGAATAACTGTAGGCCGCCGCTTTGAGCATGTCCATAATCGCAGCGCCCGATCGATCGCGTCGACCTCGGGCGGGAACGTAATACACGAGATTGGAGTTGGAGTTTATTTGGCTTGGCTTGTCAGGTGATGTTTCTTTTGCTAACACAGGTGGCACGACCTCCACCGCTTGCCGTCGACTGTAATGCTCGATTTTCAAGGACGAATTCTCTTGCAGACCCACGAGAGCTCCTCCAATGACCATTCCAATCAAGATTTTGGACACCACCTTTCTGCAGGAACTACCAGCAGGTGAAGCGGTTGTGCTTTGGGTAGCTGCTGCAGTCAAGGACTTCACCATGGTCTCATCGATTTGTTTTGATGAAGGTTTGGTCAATGCATCGATGCAGAAAGACTCACCAAAAATTGGCCGTTGGTTTGCCATTTTTTGGACTTGTTGGAGAAGATTCGATTGGCTTCTTTTCGATCGAATTCTTGAATGGTTCAGTGTTGGTGACGTAAGTCAGCATCATCGCCGAGTGGCATCAAAAGCTCTACCTGTACTCGTATCATCAAAACGAGAAGTGAGCGATGGAACGCAAACCAACCATAGCATGTGATTGGATTCTTTCCAAGGATACCCTTTTGTTGATGTTGTCTGGATAAAGGACAAGACCAAGACAACATTCATGGCTACATGGCAGGCTACCTGGTACTGCTGAAAGCTAGCTACTGTAGAAAAGTACTGAAGAATAGATAACGGGGGGTATCTAAAGGCAGAGGAAGTCAGAGTAGCGGGATCTACATCGACGATGGCGACTCTGCTTCGCATCCTGCTGCTATGGGTGGTGCCTCTCAAGATCCTTCTGATGGCCATTTTTATTGGTTGGTTGAATACCTTTCCCATTCCCGAAGGAACCCTGTTCACCATGGTGTATCCTCTCACCAAGGGACTCTTGCCCACCGTCTGGACTGGCGGATACAAGGATTGTCCAATACCTCCACTACCCGAGCATTCAGAGGAAAAGATGCCACCCCCACACCACACGTCCTATGTGACTCTTCCCGGCAGTAGTAATGACACGGCACGCACTATTCATAGTAAAGATCCCACGTACTACAAGATTCCCCAAAGTGGCATTGGCATGTGCTGTCGGTACACGGCATACGATGCCGAATCGGTGCGACGGACCATCCTCTGGTATCTCGTCCATCAAGGCGGACGACACATTGACACGGCCGATTATTATCAAAATCACGAATGGATCGGTGAGGCACTCCAGATTGCCATGACACGCTATGGGATTCCACGCCGCGACATTTGGGTCACCACCAAACTCTGGCCGCGCCATTACGGTACGAATGCTACCTTGACGGCCATTCCGCGCATGTTGCAGGAACTGCAGTTGGACTATATCGATCTAGTATTGATGCATGCACCGTCGCATCAACCGATTCCCTTCTTGACGACGACCAGCACCAGTAATGCGTGTGGTGGGGAAACGAGAAAGAGTCGCAAAGCGTGTCGTCGAGAAACCTGGGAGGCATTGACTGTCGCCCGCAATGACAAGGGATATGTCCGGCATGTCGGTGTCAGCAATTTCAATATTCGACAATTGCAAGAATTGCAATTCATGCGAGCAAAACAAGCAGCAGCCGCGCCCATTGCCAATCATCAGTTCCAATACAATCCGTGGGTTCCCGATGCCGTCCACGATATGTTTCGGTATTGCCAACAACATGGCATTCCCGTCACGGCATGGTCGTCCTTTGCCGGATCGGCCATGTTGCAACACATGGCGTCCTCCACCGTCGATAGCTTGCGCAAAATTGCCAAGAATCATGGCGATCACTACACAGTGGCACAAATCTTGCTGCAATGGGCCGCCCAAAAGGGAGCCATTGTGATTTCCACAGATGATGACATGACGACAACAACAACGGCCGTGCCAGTATCATCATCATCCTCATCATCATTGCAATTGACCCTGCAGGAAATGGCAGAGATTGAGGATTTGAAACGGGATGAGTCTGCCAAGAGTTTCTTTGTCACAGTTGTCGATGATACATAGTGAGCAAAGTACGTACGAGATGTTCTGTACTGTAGGAATGGGAAGAAGATCGAGGGACGACACCCCAAGTTTTAAACGGGAAGAACACCTAACAGAGGGAGTGCACCGACAGTGAGGATTCATCATTCGATTCGATTCGATTCGATTCATATTTTATAAGTTTCTGATGTGACGGAACAGCTATGATACAGCCAACTAACTAACCAAGAGAAATACGCGTTCGATTGATTCTGTCATTCTTTTTCATTGTGAGACCATGCAAACCATTGAATGGCTCTACTGACTGGTCTATAATAGAGAGTCTCATTGGAGCACACAAGCATTCGCATCCACAGCGATAACCAGCTAGCTAGCTAGGGCAGTCAAAATCAAAGGAGCTAGCTAGGTCTTGCAAACGAAACTCCCTTGGGTACATGGAGAATGCTGAAGATAGCACAGATGCTCTTGTATCTCTCCAGGCAAGCCATGGCTTCCACTAATAACATACATTCACAATGCCCAAACCTGATACCAGAATCAATTCTGATGGGAAGGAACCGGTTAGTCAACTTGGGAACATTGGCCAACTCGAGCTGCTGTGTCAATGCTACAGTAGTACAAGAAGGAATCCCACCAGCGAAGTTATTGCCATTCAGGAGAAGCAAGCTCTACGAGGCCTGCCATTCGATCGATGAACCTCAGTTGGGAAAAGGTCGTGATAGCATATTGTGTAAAAAAGTCAGCCTCGGTCAATTTGGCCAGTAAAAACAGTTCTGATGGGAGGAGCCCATGTCATTTCAGGCAAATAGGACACGTGGAGCCAGTTTTTAAAGTGCCACCAGCTTTCCATATTCTGTAGGAATGGTTGGTCTTTGAGGGTAGTGTCTTAAGGTCCTCATAATGAAGGCGGCCACTTCTTCCACAGCTTAGTCTTTGTAGGTCATGATGCTCAGCCATTGTACTACCTCCGCTGCATCTACTGCTGTTTTGCCATTCGTCGTTGGACGTTGATCCCCAAGGCATGACAGGTCAATGTGACTTGATGTGTTTGATAAAACTCGTTTCTCATGAACGGTTCACTCAACCACACATAGTTGCTAATGTAATCATTGTAGTCCGCATGATCCACCACCATGGCAATGGTATCCATGGTCACCAGAGTAGTAGCCGCGCTTCCTTGTTCCACCTGGAGAATGGCGTCAAAGTCGACTTGGAATCGGTCCGTCGCATTATTGGCGTCGTCATAATACGTGGAATCCACATGATCCACGTCAAACGAGACAAATGCGTTTCGAATGCTCGAGTTGGTCGTCGTAAAGAGATGGACAAAGAACAGTTCCGTTTCGCCCATGAGCGCGTCCACTTCTGCCGCGGTGGGTTCTCGTCCTTCTCCCTCGAAAAAGACAATCTCTAGTTGGGCGCGAAAGGTCAACGACTTGGTTCTTGCAACGTTGCCTGTACGAACGGCTGCTGTGGCATTACCGTTGGTCGCGTTGCTGGGGGTTTGGATTGTTGTGGTGTTGGATGTAGTAGCGTTGGTTCCTTGTCCTGGAATCGTTGTACTAGGAGCCATTGTACTATTATTGGTTGTTGTCGTCATGTTGTTTGCCGATTGAGTGTTGTTTCCGACTTGTGGTGGGGTTGTCACAGTGTTGTTGTTGACTGTTGTGCTGGAGTTTCCAGCACCTGGGTCTGTCCCGTTGAGCACGGTGGGGGCAATGGTACTAGAGATCAGAGTAGAAGAATTAGTCAAGTTGATTGTGGGTGATAGAGTGGGAATGTCGGTTGCATTAGTGTTATTTCTGAGCAGTGGTGGGTTTGTCGCAGTGTTATTGTTGTTGACTGTTGTGCTGGAGTTTCCAGCCACTGGATCTGTCCCGTTGAGCACGGTGGGGGCAATGGTACCAGTGATTGGAGTAGATGACGAATTGGTCGAGTTGATTGTGGGTGATAGAGTGGGAATGTCGGTTGCATTAGTGTTGTTTCCGAGTAGTGGTGGGTTTGTCGCAGTGTTATTGTTGTTGACTGCTGTGGAGTTTCCTGCCACTGGGTCTGTCCCGTTGCCCATGGTTGGGGCAATGGTAGTGATTGGAGTGGATGAGTTGGTCGAGTTGATTGTGGGGGATAGAGTGGGAATGTCGGTTGCATTACGCATTGTAGTGGTGTTATTGGTCGGCAGGATGGTGAAGGGCGGGAGTGATGCATTGTTTGTTGTGTTGCTGGGCGATAGAGTAAGGGCTACCGTGGGAAGTATCGTGGCATTGGTTGTTGGAAGATTGGAGGATGTATTGCTTGGGGCTATCGTTGGAACGCTGGTGACAGGGATAGACGAGGGAGCCGTGATGGTTGGTGCTAACGTGATGTCGGGCGGACTTGATGACATGGCTGTGGTTGGACTCGGTGATTCCTTAGGAGGTGCACTTGTTGTAGTTTGGGAAGAAGGTGGAATTGTTTGTTCTGGTTCGGGGGTGATGGTTGGCGAAGACGTTGTCACGTTGGTGGGCGCTAGAGTAGTCATGTTGGTATTATTACCAATAGAAGGAGCCACCGTGGGAGGTAACGAGATTACTGTGGGCACTGTTGTCAGCTGACAACCGTCGTCTTCATACGACTTTTTCGATTTGCTTTTGGACTTGCTGTTTCGGCTTTTGCTGGCATGGCTGCGACAAGACTTCCCGCTGCGACTCGAGCCGTTGCGATTGCTGGAAGAAGTGCTCTTGCTGCTCTTCTTGCTACTTTTCGAACTGCTCTTGGAGCTGCTCGTGCTGCTCATGGTCTGGCTACCTCTAGAAGGAGTGAAGTCATCTTCGTCGTTGTCAGCATTATCTGTTGTTGCTTCTGCTTCCAGGCCTCTCTTGTGGCCTTGGCGGTATCTTGAAGAGCGTGGAATATGGAGAGGTTGTAATGTTCTGCCGGTATATCTCGGTGTGTTACTACTAGTAGTAGTTTGCCTGAAGATCACTGCTCTTCCAATTCTTGCCATGGCAAAACGGTTCGGATCATTATTGCACAGATGCAACAGCAACATCATCAACAGTGAGGCAGTTGTGGTGGTCATGAGCCACCCTACAGGGCACCGCCTTTGTGTCCGTTGGATTTTGACCATTCGAGTGGACACCATCTTCTGAACGCAAATTGACTTGTGCTTCTCTACGAGTGACAATGCGCCGGCTACTATACTGAGATGGTGGCTGTGTGAAACTTAGCGGTGGTCACTTGCTGCTGGCTAGCTAGCTAGCTTCTCTTGAGTCGATGATAAGTTGGTGGTCAAGACAAGTCTGTCAACTGCATGGAGCTGTCATCAATCGTTTGTGTGCTTCGGTTCCAGAAAAATGAGGGGAGTCATTGGTCATTGAAGGGTTCTTCAATGGGTCATCTCTCGCTTCCGCGAAACAGCTGAATTCGTCCCTCATTTTTCTCTTCTTCTCCAGCTCTTCTTGCCGGCCTCCATCGTCTTCATGGAAGCACTGCAATTTCTTGCTCTAACCATGACATACATATACTCAATCACTTGAGCTCAGACAGACGAGAGAATGGGGTGTCGACTTTATAAGGACCAAAGTTCGTTGCGTAGATCCCTTCGGTACCGGTACTTCATGATGTGCAGGCGTCTCTTGTGGCCAGAAAAGACGGCATGGCATCAACTCATCTTCGAGTCGAGTCGACTTGGATGCAACCCAACAATCCACCACATTTGCACCTTTGCACCTTTGCCGACGAATCGAATCGAGTCGTTTGAAACTCAATGGAAGCCACCAAGATCAAAATACATTTTGAAAATGATGTCATCGACGAGTTCATTTATTTTGAAACTCGTATGTTACCCACGAGTCGTACCACAACAACCGCAGCGTTTCTTCATTTGATTTCAAAACTATCGCTGAAGCAAGAAAGTGTCAGCAACATTCATCGAGGAGCCAATCACAACCTTCCGTTTCCTACTAGTTAGATTTAGAAAACAAACTGAGTTTGTCGCGTTTCTTTAGTTTGATTTCAAAACCTATACCTGAAGGGAAATTACTTCTTCTCGTCTCTCAGAAATGCACTTCATTTGCATCTCCTCGTCCTTCATTTCCTTTTCTTTCCCTTCTATGCCCCGACCATGGCGCTCTTCCTTCTTCCTCTCCTCCCGCTTGCGCCGTTCCGACATTGGTCGCCATTCATTGGTTCGTTGTCTGTGTCGTCTTTTGCTGCGTGCTTGCCTCACTCGTCTTCTTTTTTTGCTTCGCAGCGCAGTTGTGCTTTTGTCATGTTCTGTTTGTCTCATGCGTCTTTTTTCGTTTTCTTCTCTGCAGCGTCTCTGTGCTTTGCTTTGCTCGTCTCACGCGTCTTTTCTCTTTGCTCGTAGGGCCGGGCAAGCGGCCTTGGATCCACACGCAAGAGACAAACAGCAGCGTATACTCTTGTGCTGCCAGCTAGAATCACAGACCTTGTGGTTCTAGAGCAGCACAAGAGTATGGCTGCTGGTCGGTCTCTTGCGTGTCCGTCCAAGGCCGCTTGCCGGTGCTCCTGCCTCCTCCTGCGGGGCTCTTCTTGCTCTTGTGCTTGGTGCTCTCCGTTCTGTTTTGGATGCCTGGGTCCTCAGCCTGGCTGGCATTTGGGTTAAGGTAGTATGAGTCAATGTTGGTCCCTGCTCCTCACACTCCATTTTTTTCTCCACCCCCCGAGGAGCAGGGACCAACATTTGACTCATTTCTACCTTAATCTTTTTGCTAGCAAGGCTCAGGACGTCCGGAACAGAACAGAGAGCACCAAGTACAACAGCAAGGAGAGGCCAGCCACAGGAGGAGACAGGAGTACCGGTAAGTGACCTGCAAGTGTTCGTTCTTCTGTACCAACCTTCATTCTCCAGTGTCTCACCAAATCTTTTGCTGTTCTTCTCTTTACGTTTCCCACGTCCTGATTCGTCTGCGTTGGTCTCTTGTAAGTGAGATGCAAGCATTCGTTCTTCTGTACCAACCTTCATTCTCCAGTATCTAACCAAATCTTTTGCTGTTCTTCTCTTTGCGTTTCCCATGCCCTCTTCCGTCGCTGCATTGGTCTCTTGTTCCGCCGTCGTTTGGTCACTCTGATACTGCTACCCTTTTTCCATGCCCGGTTCGCCTCTCGTGTGCTCGAGTCGTCGTCATGTCATCCCCATTGTGAGCTCGAATCTTATGTTTGAGTCGAGTCGTCCAATGTCAAGGTAGCTCTCTCCCGTTCTGGTCTGGCTGATACCGTTGGTTGTCAAGTCGGCAGTCGCTCTCTCGAACTCTCTTTGAATGCTTCCTGGCTGTGCCGTTTCTCCAGTCAAGGTCGAGAGCTTTCCTTGGTGGCGCAAGTGAGGTCGGCGGTCCAAGATGCTGCTGTCTGCGCCGACGACAAGGTCTACATCATCCATCTTGCAGTGCTCGTCTTCTTTCTCACATGTCATATCAGCTTCCTTCCTCTGTTCTTATCTCCATCTCTTGAAATCGGTTTGGTGCTTCCCGTACCAGCTCCTGTCCTCTGGCTAGCAAGTGACGGTTGGTACTCTCTGTTTCTGTGCTTCGTTGTCATTGGTCGTTTCGCCTTTTCACGAGCCGCTTACAGCCCAGTTCCCGTTCCCGTTCCTGCCTTGACTTCTGTTGTTTGTGATCCATCTCCATCTCCGGCTGTGCCCGTCTCTGTGGCGGTGTTGCTGTGGGGTGATCCAATGCAGTCCTTCCGTTGTGGTCTCTGTCAAGATCTACGACTCTCCATCTCCCCCCCCCAGCTCGGATCCATCTCAGCCATGTTTCTCTGTGTTCCTGTTGTCTGGAGATTAGATGACGTCAATGCTCTCCTCTCTTTCCTTTTTGGCGCTCGTGGCCTTGGTCAAGATTTGTCTCAATCTTTCGTTACTGCTCCGTTCACATTTGCCATTCTGCTTTCTTCTTCGCCTTTGACGTTCATTAGCTAGAATAGGTTCTTCTAACTCTACTTTACACCTCTATTGCATTATTCCCAACACCCTGTATTGCATCACACATTACATCATCACCATTTTGCTCATCATCCGTGACCCAAGGATCCAAAGGTAGTAGTACCAAGTAGCTTCCTTTCGTCATCGATGTCAACTGAGTGACACGTAAATTCCACTTGGAACGTCTGATAGAACTCATTCATTTGAAAAGGCTCACTGAGCCACACGTAGTTGCTGATGAAACTGTCGTAGTCGGCAGCATCTACAACATCAGCGATCGTGTCCATGGTGACGAGTGCATCTGGAGGAAAGACCTCCAAAGTGGAATCAAACTCGACCTCAAACACATCCGCAACGTCGTCGTCGTAGAGTGAGGCAACGTGCGTAATGTCAAATGCCCTGTACCTCTCTGCTATAAGTGGAGCTGCTTGAAATAGATCCGTAAAGAAAAGTCGAGTTTCTTCCATCAAAGAGTGGATCTCCTCGCCCGTCGGCTCCCTTCCTTGACCTTCAAAAAAGGTGATATTCAAAACAGCATGGAAGGAAAGCTTCTTAGTTGCCCTGAACTTGTTTTCTCCACTTCGAACGGCAGCAGTGCCGTTTCCAGTGTTGTTGCCTGCTCCTGGGGGTATCGTGGTTTGATTGCTAGGCAACGTTGTCGCGTTCCCCCGCTGAGGACCTTGTGGGGCCGTTGCATTTAGCGGGGCCCCGCCTGTAGAGTTGTTCGTGGAGTTGCCTGTAAACGACGGAGCTGTCGTCGCTGGAGCTGTCGTTGCCGTTCCGTTGGTTGCATTGCTGCTTGGAGCCAGCGTGGTGTTTGGAGCAATCGTTTGAGTTGTGTTTGTGCCATTGTTGGAGGGGGTTATTGTGGAAGGTGAGATGGTTGGAGATGTTCCATTGCCGGGAGATTGAGTGCTGGTCCCATTATTCCCTGGGGCTGCTGTAACATTTCCTTGTGGAGGGAGCCCAGGCGGCACAGTCGATGTTCCATTGCCAGGGGGTTGAGTACTGGTTCCATTATTCCCCGGAGCTGATGTGAAGTTTCCTTGCGGAGGGACCGCGGGTGGAACAGTCGATGTTCCATTGCCGGGCGGTTGAGTACTGGTTCCATTATTCCCTGGAGCTGATGTAAAGTTTCCTTGAGGAGGGATCGCAGGTGGAACAGTCGAAGAGTTCCCAGATGGTGGAACAGTCGAAGAGTTGGAACTCGGAGCCTGCGTGAGCGTTTGGTTTGGAGGCAACGTAGTAACGTTGGGAGCTAGAGTGTCTGTTTGATTTGGCGGCGCAGGGGCCAGATCTGGCAACGAAGGAACGGTGTCATTCGACGTTTGATTTGAACCTGGAGGAAGGGTAAGATTCACAGCCGACGAAGGAGCCAGAGTGATGTTGGCAGAGGGTGGCGTTGTCGCGTTCACTGACGGTGGAAGCGTGACATTGGCAAATGTAGAGTTACCGGACGGTGGATCGGTAGCGTTGACTGAAGGTGGGCGAGTTACATTGGCAAATGTGGAGTTACCGGCCGGTGGATCAGTAGCGTTGACTGAAGGTGGACGAGTTACATTGGCAAATGTGGAGTTGCTCGAAGGTGCAGCAGTAAGGTTACCGGAAGAAGGTGACAGCGTCAAGGATGGGATGGCTGTTGTTGCGTTACTAGGTGCAATGGTCCCATTCGACGGGGCCGCCGTTTGATTCCCCGTTGTGGGTGCTATGGTTCCATTGAACGGAGCCAGAGTGGTGGATGGGACGATTGTGGCGTTGCCAGGCGCCGAGGTTCCATTGGATGGAACAACTGTGGAGGGCACGATTGTTGTTGCGTTGCTAGGCGCCAAAGTTCCATTCGAAGGAGCTAGAGTGGTGGATGGGGCGATTGTTGTCGTATTGCTAGGCGCCACTGTGGTATTGGACGGAGCAACGGTCGACGGAGCAATGGTGGCATTCCCGTTTGTGCCATTTATTGTCGGGGCCATCGTGAGCGTTCCATTCCGAGATGGACCTACCGTCAAAGTTTCATTGGGAGGCAAAGTCCCGCCGCCAGTGACATTGGACGGCGCAATGGTAGATGGCGCAATTGTTGATGGAGAAATGGTGGCATTCCCATCAGTGCCATTTATGGATGGGTTTATCGTTGTTGATCCTGGAATGAGTGTAGATGCACCAATCGATGGGTTTCCAGTCCCCCCCGGCAAGAGTGTGCTCGATCCTGGTGATCCTATGGGTGTCCCAATGACAGAAGGGTTTATAGTAGATCCTGGTGTGAGTGAGCTTGCCCCTGGTGAACCTACTGGCGTCCCAATGACAGAAGGGTTCGCAGTCCCCCCTGGCAAGACTGTGCTCGACCCTGGTGATCCTACGGGTGTTCCAATGACAGAAGGGTTTATAGTAGATCCAGGTGTGAGTGAGCTCGACCCTGGTGAGCCTACTGGTGTCCCAATGACAGAAGGGTTTATAGTTGATCCAGGTGTGAGTGAGCTCGACCCTGGTGAGCCTACTGCTGTTCCAATGACAGAAGGGACAACCGTTGCTCCAGGGGTGAGAGTGCTGGCACCTGTGGAACCTGCTGGTGTGCCAATTGTAGAAGGAATGATTGTGGCTCCGGGGGCGAGTGAGCTGCTTCCAGGTGAACCTGCTGGTGTCCCAATGCCAGAAGGTATAATTGTGGCTCCAGGGGTAAGAGTGCTGCCACCGATGGAACCTGCTGGTGTCCCAATGACAGAAGGGATAATTGTGGCTCCAGGTGTGAGAGTGCTGGCACCGATGGAACCTACTGGTGTCCCTATTGTAGAAGGGATAATTGTGGCTCCAGGCGTGAGAGTGCTGGATCCAGTGGAAGATGCTGGTGTCCCTATTGTAGAAGGGATAATGGTTGAACCTGGCACCCCTGGAGTGGCAGCTGGCGTGCCTCCTGTGGATGGCAACACTGTTCCTGGAACCGTGGTCGAGGGAATCCCAGTCTGCGGGTTGACAGGAAGTCCAGGGCTTGTCGTCGTGGAGGGCAAGACCGTAACCTGTGGCAAACCTGGATTCATGCCCTTCCCTGGTGGAACTGGGAGACCACCTGACGGCGCGAGTGTTGCTGGGACGGCTGTTACCGGCAAGGGTGTTATCTGAGGAACGGGAGTAACCTGAGGAATGGGAGTAACCTGGGGAATGGGAGTAACCTGGGGAATGGGAGTAACCTGAGGAATGGGAGTAACCTGAGGGACAGGGGTAACCGCGGGAACAGGAGTAGCTTGGGGAATCTGAGGAACAGGGGTAACCTCAGGAACTGGAGTTGTTTGTGGGATTTCAGGTCCAGAAGTACTCGCTGGCACAGGAGGATTAGTCAATAGCTCTGGTGTGGGCATGGGAGTCCGTGGTGAATGTGTTGGTGCATGTGTTGCTGGGACAAAGATTGGAGTTGTTGGATGAGGAGTTTCTGCTGGCACATGTGTAGGTTCTGCTCCTTCTACACAATCGTCCCCATCTTGGTAGTAATCATCCTGGGCATAACGATCATCCCCGTCCTCCCAAATATTTTTGCTTTTGGAAGTCTTGCTCTTGCTCTTACTGTTGCTCCTTCTTCTGGAATTGCACGACTTTTCACTTGTTCTGTGAGCATCGCTGCTGGCCGATTTGCTCGACTTGGAACTACTAGTACTACCACCCTTCCCCGATTTGCTTCTCTTTGTACTGCCATTGCGATGGCTCCTGGTCACTTCACCAAACGACTGGACACGACGGCTAAAGTATCGCTGGTTCGATGGATATAGCCTTTCTGAGGAGCTCTGCTCGGCCGCCACAAAATGTGCAAGAAGCACTAGGCAAAAGAACAAATGCCACCATCGCCTGCATTCTTGCTCTTTCGCAACAAGCTCCCTTTTCATGCTCGACCCTCTCGTGCTTCTTCTATTTGGTAATCAGATGTTGCCTTTTGCCTCTACTAGCTAGACCTGGATGGACTTGTCCTTCAGCATCCAGCCAGCCGACGTGGGATGGGAAGCGTGTTGTTGTGTCATTTCGGAGTTGACTGTTGCAACATTCCGTTTGATGGTTCACCCCTGAAGTGGCATTAATGAGGCACACGGATGACCAATTTAGGTCATCTCTCGCCTAAATTTCATTATCGGTCACCGGTAAGCGGGAAATGGCTCACATTCCTCGATCACTGACCAGCCATTTCATGCTCTGCGCGTATTAGCAGATCTAGCACAAGATTGAGTTGGGTACAGACTGGAAGTACGTGTACTACTAGCTAGCTAGTACCGGAGAGCCCAAGGAGGAGAGCTGAGCCATGGCCTTACTCTGAATGTTTCGATGATGCTTGGCAGGGTATGATACAAAAGACGGTTGAAGAACGCTCCATTAAAATTGTGCAGATGGAACTCATTCTGTTCACACGTCATTGCTTTCAAAGCTACATTACTGGAGGGTTGCTCAGAAAGAGCAAGCTACAGTGGTATTCAATTATTTGCCTCCCATTGCATAGGAAGTCAACTCATTTGCCTAGCTACCGTAGCCAACCCAAATTAGTATGGCCACTTGCAGCTCTTCCAGACTGGCGGCATAACTAATGTTGATGCAACCAGGCGCCCCAAAACTGGATTCTGGTACTACATGTAGGGCTAACAGTTCTTGTTTCAAAGATCCAGACAAAATTCGGTGGGGACAGGCTCGTTGTGGAGATTCGAAAGATGTGTCTGTTTACCACGTTCAGAATGCAATGCCGGTCATCTTCTCATGCTGGACAACTACAGCCAGTTCAACCCTCACCAAACTGCCAGCGGCAAGGTTTGACAGCAAGAAGGTGTGTTTCCGACCATGGGGCACTTTGCAGAGGCTAAGCGATTCGACGGCGGTACCGTCCGGCCATTTCGGACGAAGAAGAGCAAAAGACCATCGCGGACTACTTGGACAGGTTGCATTTTGAAGTTTATGCATGTTCCGGACACTCCCAATGTTGCCAGGGATCCCCATCTTGACTCCACAGCCACAAGGGTTGCATATCACCGGCATCGCCAGCTCCTACTTCGACACACAAATCCGATTCAACATGGATGAGACGACTGCCTTGTACTTCGAACTGACAGGTGGGTTCTACGGTCGTGACCAGCAACGTTTGATTCTGGGCACGCTGTCCCTCCGACAAGGACAGGAAGCGGCCCGACGAGACGGACCGAAGCAGTCGATCTCCCACGGCTTGCCAGAGTTGCCCCTCTCCATAAACCGAGCTCTCTTCAGAAGCAGCGGCACTCGAGCTACTGTTGTTCACTTGATTCGGACGCCGCTGAACAATTCGATAGTCATCGCTCGTCTCAGTGAGAATGAATCCATGATGGCGACTGATCAACCGGAAGGGATTGCCATGAAGCGTGTCTGTATCTCCAAAAGTGGGAAAGGTCCATTGCGAAAGAATGTTGGCCAAGTTCGGGTTGTTGCTACTTCTAGCAGCCGAGCTTCGGCTTAGCTCGATCCCCAAAGCCCGTCGTTGCATGGGGGCTCGACACAAGGGGCAATTCGAGTTGGTCGACGCGACCAGACTTGTCATGGCACAAATCAAATGAACTTGATGCTGACAGGGAAAAGTAGCCAGTGCATCTTGCGTGGGATCTAAAGAGCGTAGACAAATGCAGCAACAGTTGCCATCTCTCGTAGATTCCAACTCTTCCCCATCCATCGTGGATGACTTCGCCTTTTTGTTGGGAGGCACATCGTCTTCGTCTTGGTAAGTCTCCTGGATCTCCGGTGCGTCAACGTATATACAACGCAGCTGTGGGGTCCTTGTCTCTTCATTTCGAACAATCCACTGATTCCAAAAGGGACCCACATTTCCAATCTCTTGCGTTTGGAAGAATAAAACGTCGTAGCAGTCTTCATCTTGATCTCGATTTCTACAAACAATGCTCTTACCAGCCACACGGGTGCCGCCAGTCACCTTCTCATTCATCATCCTTCCAAGCTCGTCCAGAGTTACTGGTGCACTCTCCGTCAATAGCGCGCTGTCCGGTGCACACAACTTCCAAGCGGAATTCTCTTTTAGATAGCCATCACGATCCGTCTCTGACTGGAAAAATGAGAATGGATCCTGGTCTGGTTCTAGTGCTTTCAAGGTCAAATAAAACAATCCGTCCCTGTTCTCATGGTAGTATGGACGTGCTTGTGCATAGTACCAGCCTCCCTGGTTGTCCTTTTCCGGCTCGCCCAATGGGGGACAAGAAAAGAGCTCTTTGGAAGGGCGCTTCCAGTGCTCTGGTTGCGGATATGTTTTCAAATGAGCCGGTCCCACATGTGTCTCTGACTTGAGCCTGGGCGCTCCGGTGACTTTGTCCAAAACGATGCAATCGTTCAGCAACTGGCCAAGGTTCCCATCCACGACATCTTGCCGGCGGAAGAGTGCGTGTTCTTCTTCAAACTCCCATGTCTGTCCGTAAACAAAGGCCGTCCCTTCCACCTGGCAAAGGCGTTCGGAACAAACGATTCGGTAGAAATACCGCCCCAAGTCGAACATGCTGGTGATCTTGACCAAGTCAGCTTCCGGCACTTGCTTTAGAGAAACCCAAAATTTATGGTTTCCGTGGTTCGAAGTAGCAGTCCTAGCCAGATATTCAATGGGATGGTACGGAATTGTCTCCAGATGGAGGGAATACTGCACCTGGTTGTGTTCACGATCATAGGTTGATTCGTCGGCTTGGGCGGTGGCAAGGTACCAGCTGCTCTGAACATCAGGGTCGTTGTTGGCCGTACTTTGGGCTACGGGAAGCGCTGGCGTTGTATCTGCATCGTTTTCTTCCGCTACCTGCAGGACGCCGTCAAAGCATACTTGATACAGATAGGTAAAGTCTTCTCCGTAAGCTGGGTAACAATCCTTCACCTCCAGAGTGTAGGCTTTGTACGTGTTGATTTTGTCGTGAGGTATATCAAAGCTTTGAAAGCCTGTTTCTTGCGCCAATTGAAACTCCAATAGCGGCACCCTACTCACAATTTCATTGCCTTGATCATCAGTGCTATCATGCCCACACAAGACGTGCGTCTTGGTGTGGCCATTGAGATCGGCGCTGAAAACACGGATCCGGTGGACCGATAGGTTCTCGTTGTTGCTGCTCGTTCGGAAGGTAAACCGGAGACTGGCTGGAACGTGAAAATAGAAAACGTTATGCGAATCCTGGTGGTTGTTCAGCACCACCGATGGCATGCACCGGTGATTGGGGGTATGGCCCGGTGTGTTGCCACGTCCCTCTATTAATTCCACCTTTACACACCGATCGTTCAGGAGTCTCAGCTCTGTTTTTAACTCAGTTTCATCATCATTATGATTGCTCATTGCTCGTAATCGTAGGCCAAGGTGAAAGAGAGCAGCGAATAGACTGGAGTGGAAACCGAGAAAAGGAAACGTCTATCTATGTTTACTGAAAAGGGGAAATAAATACTAAATAGATACGTTAAGGAGCGAGGGGGGCGAGGCTAGGCAAAGAAATGATGCTCTTCATGCAGACCTGTATCTCCATTGCCCTTGGGAAAGCTACGATGTCCCCATTTATGTCTCGGTGGATCCAAACCCTTTGCCCCCGTAACGGTCCTCAATTTCTTGCCCCTGATCCCACAGAACCTAGTCCTGAATTTCAACTGTTCTTTGCTTAAGCCTGGCCCCGGCTGGCTTCCGTAGATAAGTTCCCTACTCTAAACCCCCGTTATATGTATACTGAATGAACAAATACTATGTAGATACGTTAAGGAGCGAGGGGGGCTAAGCTACGGTAGGCTGTGCGGTGGTATCGGTAGTGGGTACCAGATAGCACTGGGAGAGCAGGGAGGACAGGGGCAGGGCAAAAGGGAGCTAGGGGGGAGGGGAGAGCAGTGGGCAAAAGGAGGAAGTAGAGGGGAAGTCGAGAGGGAGTAAAATGGGGCAGGATTAGCGGAAGAGTGCAAGTGCATCATCAGCATCCCAGAGAGAACGGCGGTAGCTCATAGTGCCAGCAGGGACACGAGAGCCACGCATGCAGAGGTGGTGGGCCCGAAGAATAGCAAGGCTGAGCCGAGCATAAATGTAGTCACGCACCACTGAGGAAGGGCGTTCATGAAAGTTCATGAATGTGGTTTTGGCCTGTACCACAGTATTGGTATGGGAAAGGGGGGTCAAACGAACCCTCGGCCCCCGCAGTGGTCCTGTAAAGTACTGGTGGACGTTCTTGTAGGAGTTTTGCTGACAATTTTTGTTGACGATTTGTATCACCTTGCCCACCACACAGTACCGAACCGTGCCTTACTGTACCATAATGCTCTTTGACAGCCGGAACACGTGTTGCCCACCATGGAGCACTCTGCAGAGGCAAATCAACATCAGTTTCAACGCAGCTGAAGTACCCGAGAGCCCAAGGAGAGCTGAGCCATAGCAAAACTCTTGAATGACCGTGCTGATGATGTTTGGCAGGGTATGATACAAAAGACTTGGCATGCTTGAAGAACCCACCATTGTGCAGATATTCTGTCCACAGGTCAGGGCTTTCAAGCTACATTCTACTAGGCTGGTGGGTTGCCCAGAAAGAGCAAGCTACAATGGCATTCAAGTACGAGCCCCAACAGGAAGTCGACTCAGTAGCCTAACTGACTAGCTAACTAACCCAAATTAGTCAAGAAGCGATTCAACTTTTCCATGGCCACCTGCAGCTCTTCCAGACTGGTGGCATAACTAATGCGGATGCATCCAGGCGCCCCAAAACTGGATCCTGGCACTAGGGCTAACCGTTCCTGTTTCAAAAGATCCAGACAAAATTCGGTATCATCTCCGTTGTAGATTGGTGCTTTGGAGACATCGGGCAACACGTAAAAGGCACCACGAGGTGGTGCCGGTAGATTCACATATGGCATCTTGGCCAGCTCGTCCAGCACATAATCACGTTTTCGTTGCATGATTTGTACATTTTCCTCCAATACTTCGTCTGGCACCTGTGTGAGAGCCGCCACACCCGCGGCTTGGCTCAATGATCCGGCACACGATGTAATCTGTGATTGCAAGGTCGTGACGGCCTTGGCGAGTCTCGCCGGTGCCGCCACATAGCCCAATCGATATCCCGTCATGGCATAGGCTTTGCTCATCCCATTGATGGTCATGGTCCGATCAAACATACCGGGAAGACTCGCAAAGGAAGGACACCAGTCTTCCTTGGGGATATCTCCGTCGGTGGGAGGGTAGACGAGCCGTTCGTAGATTTCATCGGCGAGTATGGCTACATGGGGATAGTCACGCAAAACTTCTGCCAGTCCCTCTAATTCGGCGCGGCTGTAAACTCCTCCTGGAAGATTCAGAAGATGAAATGCGATATGTCAGTGAAGGCTGTCATCATGATGCCGTATGTTCAAAAAATGGACGTGATGCAAAAGAATTTCTTACCTGTTGGATTGGAGGGATTACAGAGCATGAACAATTTGATTTTGGGATTGGCTTCCAGTGTGGTTCTCAACTGATCGGGTGTGAGTAAAAAGCCAGTTTCCACCGAGGCATCCACAATCACGGCTTTTGCTCCTGCCAGCGCCACCATTTCTGGATACGAGGGCCAGTACGGTGCTGGTATCAACACTTGATCGCCCAGCCCACACACTGCCAGCACGCCCTGGTAGACGGACTGTTTGGCACCATTTCCCACTACAATTTCCGTCAGAGGATCGTACGATACCCCCTTTCGCCGTTCCAAGTCAGCGGCAATGGCCTGACGCAATGCCAGCGTGCCAGTGACGGCCGTGTAGCGCAACTCTCCATCCGTTACTGCCTTGTGCGTGGCTTCCAGAACAGCCGGCGGGGGCAAGAAATCCGGTTCTCCCACACTCAGTGATGTGACTTCCACACCGTCTGCTTGCAGTTGTTTTACCAACGCCATGACTTCTACCGTTTTGCTCATCTTGACAGAACTCAGCAGTGGATTCAATTGGATTGTTGTTTCGGATGATGTCTCGGGTGCTTCTTTGGAGGCCACATACAACGATGGATTCCAACGGCTATTCGTCGCCTTGTTGAACACGGGAAACCCCCAGCTCTGTGCCAGGAGCAGCAGGCCAAGTAGGATAGGCAGGGAATGGGGCCTCATCATCTTCATCTTGGTTATTGTTTGCTTTGTGAGACTATTCTGGTGAGGCGAGGTCAAGAAAGGCCGTTGGCATCATGGCTGCAGGTTGCATCACGGACGGATGATGGGTTTGATGTTGCTAACGCTAAAGCTCATGACCTGGTCATTAGGGTTAAGGTCGAAGTATCATCCCTTCTTTGGTCTCACAACACAGAGTCCTTGGCCAAGCTACTAGTAGTATGCTTTGGAGCAAACAGCAGCTGTAGCTCGTCTGATCCATATACGAACGCCCAAGGGGCCAAAGAAATGACCTTCTGTGAGGACCTGGCTGCCATTTATGTGTACTGTGATACATCCAAAGGTGGTGTCATCCCCTTCTCATGCAGAAGAATCACAAGTTGGCATCTTGCATCATCTGGTGGCACATTGTGCTCTCACAAAAAGCACGACGATCCTTGCGTAAGATTATCCTTTGTCCATTACTGCTGTTTACAGGGGCAATCACACCCACACAACAACTCTGTACAGTTAAACCATGATCCATAGTTGCCCCTCGAACAGGAGTCAAAGCCAGTGCCAACGCAAGTGCCATTCACAGCACAAAGAGAGTCTGGAATCACACCAGAGAGTTGTGGATTTCCATCAATGCGGAAACCATACAGTGATGCATGTAGCGCAGCGAGCTCGGTAGGCACAGTTCCACGGAGATTATTGTCGGCCACAGAAAGCCAACCAAGCCTTGTCATGAGCCCAAACTCAGAAGCGATTTCACCCGTCAAGTGATTGCTTGCTAGAGAGAAAGACTCAAGGTTGGAAAGACTCAGGAGTTCACTGGGAATCGTTCCAGAAAGCTGGTTGTTGTCAAGCTCCAGAGACCATATTGATGAAAGCAGAGACAGCTCAGACGGAAGAGTACCTGTCAATGAACCTTTCTTCGAATCAAATATGTATAATGAATCCAACAGTCCAAGCTCTGTAGGAACAGTACCCTTAAGGCCGCCTGCAGTAAGAACCCAGAGTCTTGAGAGGGATCCCAGCTCACTGGGGAGGGTACCAGAAAGATTGCTAGGGGCCAAGACAAGGTATTCCAGTGATGTGGCTTGACCAACTTCTGTAGGAAGTGATCCTTTGCCAACACAAAGCAGAAGAGGGTGAGTGGTTTACCGGAAGCAGCAAGACTAAGCATGCAGTGCAAGTCTTTATTACCAGAGAGATCAGAATCATTCATCACAAGCCACCTCAGCATAGGAAGGGTGCCAATACCGGATGGAATTGTACCTTGTACCTTATTGCGGCCAAGACCAAGCGTATCCAGCTTGGCGAGTTGCCAGAGTTCCTCGGGAATAAATCCTTCCAACTGGTTGCTGAACAAACCAAGCACTTGCAATGATGACAAATAACCAAGTTCCGTTGGTAATGATCCGGACAGACCAGTGTTGAAAATGCCAATCCCTTGCAAGGAACGTAGCTGCCCAATGTAGCTAGAAATTGTACCATGAAGTTTATTGAAACCAGCTGAAAATGTTTCAAGCGAGGTCAAGCTGAAGAGCTCCTCGGGCAAAGAACCTTCAAGATTATTCATATCCAACCACAGATGTTTGTAGTTACCTTGATCATTACATTGGCTGTGAGGTAGTGGCTCCAAAAAGCCTTCGAGGACACCATGGTAAATTGTTTGCAAAAAAGTCTTAAGGGCAAACTCTTGATCTTGAAACCAGTCGCATTCATGAAGATTGTAGGTTTCCCAGCCTGTGTTGTTGAACCACTTAGTTGGACCGGCAGTGGCATAGAAAACGGTCATTAAAGCATGCCTCTGAATAATCCGCCACTCTGGATATTCATAGACAGAGTGATCCTTTAGAAGCCAATCAAAGGCTTTGTATTGTGCCGAATCTATGTCTTCAATTGCCTTGATTGTGTGGTCTGGGAGCAGGGACAAAAGGAATGATTCCAGCGAGGTTGGGTCCATTGATGGTGCTGTTGTTGGTGCAGTTGATGTAGCATCTATGATCACTGCCGGCTTTGGTCTCAGTCCAACTCCTAGACTGATAGCAATGATAATAGTTGCGCAAAAAATGATAGCATAGCCTACTCTTCGGCAATGTCTCTCCTTTTTCTCTCTGTCAAATTGATGTTCCAATAATGCATCATCAACTTGCTGGGCTTCCTGACATATGAACATGCTGGATTCGGTAATGGCCCTAGCTTCAACCAGTCCTTGGTCACTGGTGGCATTTTGAATTTGGAGAGTATCGGGGGTCGGTGGAAGAACAACCTCAAGATCATTTTCCACAGAATTTTGGTTGTCGCTGCTGGCATCAGTTCCAACAAGCCTAAAATCAAGTTCGGATACACGCCGCATGTTTTCGCCCATGTAAGCTCCAGGTTGGCTTGGCTGATTGTTGCTCGCACCCTGATGCGCAGTGGGGATTGGAGCAATTCCACCCACTAAATCCTCGATTAAAGCTTGACGGTTGGAAGTTGCATTTGCTGGTTGGTTAGGGTCATGAGAAAATTCTTGAGGAGTATCGTTCTCCTGTGTTCCAGTAGTAATATTGTCATGGGAAGAGTTCCTTTGAGGAGGAACAAGGGCTCCACATTTGGTTATTGTGACATCTGTAGACTCTCGAAATGGAGGAGGGTTTTTTCTATTCTTGCCAAGCCCACGGGGCGAGGACACAGAAGAACGATCACCAGTTGTGGCGCTAGAGGTAGCACTTGCAGGCACATGATATACTCCATGTTGAATAGGAGCAACCGCTGTGGCATTCTTGCTGGGGATTGTTTCAGGGTTGGTTTTGGCTCCAGGAGGGACAATGGCAGACACCCCAGATGTGGCATTCCCAGCACTGCCTCGAGCAGCAGCCTTAGCCGCCCTTTCTTCAACAGATCTCCTGAGACCACGTGTTTCCGTTGTTGTAGGTGCAGGCTTGGTTATGGCATCAGTGGATCTACCGACCTCCTTGGCATCTTTTTGTCGCTGTTGACTCCTCCGCAATACGGCTCCAGGAATGCTTGTAGTGATGTTATTACTACCCATGTTGACATTTTCTGCTTGTTTTGCTGTTTTTTCTTCGGAATATTGTTTTAGGCCACTGTTCAAACTTGCGGTAGGCAAAGTCAAGGCAGCAGGCGTGGAACTCCCAGGGCTGAATCGATTAAACTCAGTCGTTCCAGGAGGTCTTTCCTGAGGCCCATTGGCGGGTGGCCCAATGGCACCATTGCTGGGACCGGTACGGGTATCTGCATCGCCACGCGAAGTAGTAGGAGTTATGGAAATATCATCGTCGGCAGCGTTGCTAGTACTTGCTCTTGCAGCCGGCTTTTGGTTTTATCGTCCATGGCACAAGCACACCAGATCGATGGCGGGCGGAAAAAGAGAAGTCAACTGAAAGAGTCGCTTCCTTCACCTTGCGGTGGTGGTGCGATCGGAAGAAGGAGGCGAGCCAGGAATACCAGTTATAAGGCTAGCCTCAGGAGAGAGGTCTAATAAAGGCATACAGGATCGATGATGGCTCTTTTTGGCAATTACCCGATCCCTTCTTGCCCCCTTGCCCTTAATTCCCATCCCCCCTAGCCCTCTCCACGACCCTGCCACCCCCTTCTTGAGCCCCCACGTCATCCCTTCAGAATTGAAGACCATCGCACAGCCCTCACAGAAGGTCGTATCAGCGCCACCAAACGCCATCAAGACGCTACCAAGCGGCTTTCGAGACCCATCAGCCACTCTCACTCCGGCTGAGCAGTCCCGCCTCAATCGCAGTCGTTGCACTGGCTCCTGGCTTGCAGTCATGCCCGATATTGCCAAACGCACTCACCTCTCGCTCAAGAATGGCGTGTGCTCTTTTTCTCCGGTTGGTCTTACCCCCCAGCTCTTCCAGCTCTTTTGTGATGGCTGTACTGGTCCTTCAGCGTTCCACATGCTCTGGATTGCAAACGCGGTGGCTTAATCATCCGTCGCATAATGAAATCCGCAATGAACTTGGTTCTATTGCATGTGAATGCTTTGGTTCCTCTAGCGTCCAATCAGAACCACCCCTTCCATCTGTCCCGCCCCTACTATCCCGCCGGTCACCCAATTTCTACCTTACCTCCCCTCCCCACCTCTCAATCCCCCTCCAGCCCCCGAGCTCTTACGCGGTGATCTTTCCTTCGCGGCCTGTTTGAACGAGGTACTACAGCTATTATGACGTACGTGTCACTGATTTGGACTGTGCCTCTACCGCAACAAAGATCCCGTCAAAGTTTTAACCCAACAAAAACGCGACAAAATTTCCAAATATAAAGATGCGTGCGAGTCCAATCGCGCTTCCTTCCACCCCTTTGTTGTTTCAGTGGATGGCATGCTTGCCCTCAAGCCAAGACTCTCTTACAACGCCTTGCTTCTGCTACTGCCTCCAAAACTCAATTTTCCTACTCTCAAATGATGTTTCTTCATGCAGACCCGTATCTCAATTGCCCTTGTGAAAGCTACCCATTTATGTCTCCGTGGCTCCCGCAAAGCCAAACCTTTGCCCCCCGTAATGGTCCTCAATTTCTTGCCCCTGATCCCACAGAACCTAGTCCTGAATTTCGACTGTTCTTTGCTTAAGCCTGGCCCCGGCTGGCTTCCGTAGAGCCTTCGAAGTGGAAAGGTTTCACGACGACGGGGGCTGACTGAGTCACTCGCAACAAAGGCAGGAAAGAGATGCAACAACAGAAAACCGGAGCGTTGTCTCTTGTCAACATTGAGAGTGACAAGGCGTTGAGTGCCTCAATCTCAGGGCTAGCTAGCTAGGAAGTGATCCACCCTCTTGTGCTCTACTCGTAGCATTTGCGTTTCTGTTGGTTTCCTTGTGATCAACTTCTTGTCATCATTCAGTCTTTCTTACAGTCGCTACCACCAATAGGCCAGGAAGCTGCAGAAATGAAACTGCATGTGCGTGCTACCCCTTTCGATAGAACGAGTGTGGGAGTCGAGTCGCAGCTGGCTGGCTACCGATTTTGTTGAGCGGCTCATGAATCGAATCCCCGCACCAAAGACAAGGCATGCACTGAGCAACTCCGTCAAGACCATCGCTAATTATCGGCCGGGCCAGCGGCGCAATGTGCTGACAAGCCCTTTGCACCCCCCCCCCCAATGTCCTGAATCCCAGTCAGACGCAGCTATAGCTAGGCCGGTCAATAAGATTCCACACGAAAAGTAGCCATTGGCTTACCTGGTGGTTCAACACAGCCAATCCTCTACTGTACCATTTTGCCAAGCAAGGACCCAGCCATAAACCTGTGAGCCGGGCTCGAGAGAAAGACCTGCCTAACTAACACCATTGCCCGATGGGCAACTTGGCCCAGGTCCACATCCACATGGATCGCAAGATTTACTAAGGATCTGCCACCACTGCCACCGGTAAAACCGAGGGAACCAGTTGTGGGTTGGGGTGGCCAAATTTGCTCAGTCCTGATGACCTCGAGGAGGAAAGATAAGAAAAGGATGTCACAACAAAGTGACTTCATTTGGTTTTGCTGGGCAAAAAAGGCGCTCGCTAGAGCAATACAACCCAACTGATCTGAGATGAGGAGGGCAAGTCTCATCCATTCGCAATGGCTGACTTGTCTCTTGCTGTTGGTGGTAGCCTGTACGAGTTCAGAGGCATCAGATCCATCCATACCGGTCGAAACGAGAAAGCGAAGGAGATTACGGCATCTGGAGGCAAGAACAACCACATTCTTCGATGAAATACTTCCCCCACTCCTGGCAATCCAATACAACTTTGCTGAAAACGAGACCTATCTTCGTCTCAATGCAGGCGATCAAAGGTTGGGTGTTGCAGATGGTGCTTTGATCTGGGTTTCCAGGACCGTGGATACCAACGATCAAATGTGGATTGTTGGCTCCAAACACCAATGTGTTCACTACTATCGTTCTTGCAGCAACACCATGCTTTTGGGTGCCTGCTCCGAGACTATTGATTGCTACCAGCTTCGACATGCCAGCACCCAACTCTACTTGCAAGCAACTTGTGACGGGCGAGCATGTTCCGGCCATCATGAAGTCACCTTGGTTCCGTCACCGCAGGGAGCGGGTGCCCTCTGGTACTTTGTGGGTAACACTGCTACTGAAGTTCGGCTGCAAAACAGTCGATTGGGTCAGACTTTGGGTGGCGAGGCAGCTGCAGTCGCATCATTTCAACCTGACAACTCGCAGCAGCCTGTATCGTTGGATGTGGATCGGTTGAACGTGGCAGACTATGTTCAGGCTGCAGGGATCCAGTTTGCAATGCGCAATCTTCACACTTCCGACTTTCTCTGGAGTGACTGGGAAGGCTATGAATATCGACTTCATCCACAACGTGATCTTTCCCTTTACGATGGGCGGGCTCATTGGCAGTTTCAACCCATTAATTGTGATGGCGACACTTCCTCCACTGCGAGCAAGGAATGTTCCAGCATTACAAGTGTGGCTACGGAAGCCATTCTGGGGGGCAGTGGAACCCATGCTTACGTCACCCCTGGAGCAGAACCTTTCTTTGAAGATGTGCATGCCTTCCACATCCAAGTTGTTGCCTGTGATGACATGGGGTCAACTTCTCCAGCGACTCTCGGTTGTATACGAATACAGAGTGCGATCCAATCAGGGCGCGTTATTGGGATTCATTACGACGAAGCTAAAGGCCAAAAGGAGCTCTATTTGACGGATCGAAGCAAGGATCCATCATCAAATGATCTGGCCTGGACTTGGGAACTGCTTCCAGCATCTAGTGGCAATTAGCAACCGATTGCAAGCCACTTGTGCTAAGAGCAAAACCAAACAAGCCGAGCCATTCGATAGCACACCCACTACAGCTAATCCTTCTGCACAATCTCCACCTGGGGCCATCTCCAGAGAACAAGTCAACACAGTGATCTTAACGAAAGGCTTGGCTATGACCTAGCCTAGAAGTCAAAGACAACCAGGCAGAGTTCAGTCACCCCAACCGTTGAAGCTATACAGGAAATGGCTGCGCTTCGAAGCGCTTAGCTCTCCCTTTGGACTGCGGAAAACTGCAACCAAGGGAGCGGCAACCACTGCACCGGTTTGCTTCGAGGACTCGACCCCTTGAGCGCCCCTTACCCTTACCTGTCTGGGGTATTCGCAATGGATGTCATTCTATTGCATTCATGGACAGTAGACAAAAGCAATAAAAGGAGCTTTTGCACCTCTACTGTCCGCACCTTGGCGGCAACAATCTGCACCTCTACCGTGCGGATAGGCGCCGCACCTCGGCAGCAATGCTGCACCTCTATGGCCCGCACTTCGGCGGCAACAATTCTGCACCTATATGGTCCGCACCTCAGTGGTAAAGATTCTGCACTTCACCTCTAGGTCCGCACCTCTACCAGTACAGTCGTATGGTCCATACCAATTCTGCACCTCTAGTGGTACAGTCGTAGCTCCGAGACAACTTTGGAAGCAAAGGTGGAAACAAAGGATTCATCATTCATCACTGCAGTTTGGCTGCTCTTCATCCACCGAAGGGCCCCGTAAAGATCCCGCTCCTTCCACGGTCACCACCGTGGAACATGAACAACCGTAGCCAGCACCCAAGCCCACTTCCCAGACCCACGGAGTTACTCGCTCCACACACGAGACCATGCAATCTGGACCTCTAGAGTAGCTACCGTACTATAAAGGGCCATGCCCTCCTTGATTCCATCCTCACGTTCTACACCTAAGCAAACACTAGCTAGGGCCTACTCCTGGCCCAACCCACCGCTCCACTCCTTGACTTTTTGCTTCTCTCCAGTGAATTTGGGCAAGCGGGATGCCACTTGATGCTTCTCACTCCGCATCTTCGTCTGTGGCTGCTAGGCCTACTCGAAATAGCCCAGATTCTTCTGGCTGTGCTACCAGTTCTAGAGCCTCTTAGAAAGTGCTAGTTATTTGACGCGCACGTATGTATGTACCGTAGCGCAATCTTTATTATGTTCCACCAGCATGGTGACTGGTGGGTCCATACTGTACTGTACATGTAGGTTGAGAGCCGCCGTGTCAAAGAGACATCTGAACAAAGAGTGTGAGACCGCCAATGTGCTGTGCAACGGCAAAAGCTTTCGGTTGAGACACACTTTCAACTTCAATTCCCACCACATTCTTTTGCCGTGCAGGATTTAAAAGCCTTCTCTGTAGGACCAAGCAGGATTGCACCCGATCTTGCCAAAACAACAGCCTAAAAGCCAGTTCCTGACATTCGGAACCCCAGACCTGAAAGCTTTCATTTATTTTTTCCCCAGTCAGTGTGCTCTACCGCGACCATCATAGTTAGCTAAACTCTTTCTATTAGTTTGTTGCCATCAATCATCACCATGGAAAAGGGAGAGCCTCAGACAGAGCTTGGCACCGAGCCAGAAGTGCCCATGATGGACGAGAGCTTGCCCAAGGAAGAAACGTTGAACAGCTCGTTACACACAGGGAAGGACTCTCTGAGCAATGATGATGCTGGAGGTGTCGATAGATCATTGGAAAAGCTCGAACCAGTCAACACTGTTGGAAACAACAACAGTGATGTGGAAGATATCATGCAGTCCAAAGGTATTTTACAGACAGTTGGTGTTGACAGCAGCGACAATAACGACTTTGAAGGCCGAATGCATCAAAAAGGCATTTTGCACAACGTCGTGCAGCCCAGTGGTACGAATCCTCATATTGCTCAGGTTGCCGCTGCCGCTGCTGCTGGTGGCAATGACGGAATACAGCCCGTTCCAGTCGCCGCACCGAGAAATCCAGTCCATCCAGGAGCGTTTCCCGTCCGCGGGGTGGATGCTCGAAATACCGATCGATCGGATACCTTTGGTGTGAACAATGACGTGGACAATCAGGGATTGACATCGGAGAGTGTGGCTTTGACCGTCCATACCGAACGACCGGACGAGAATCTTACGAGTGGATTGGCCGTGGCAGCTCCCGTGGTCGAGCCGGCAGAATTGCCTCTGGCACAAGAAATCACGTCGGATCCTAATAAACCCCCATCTCCTAGTCAAAAAAGAAATGTACCCTTGGGAATAATGCTCATGATTGCCGGAGTGATTTTGATTGTGGGAATTCCTCTCATTGTCATCGCTGTCACATCCTCCTCTGACGATGCCAATTCACAGAGTGACGGGACCATGGCACCTTCCACGCTGTCACCCACGGCAGTGCCATCGGCGGCTCCTAGTTTGAGCCCGGAAGGTCTCTTATTGTCGTATTTGCCAGACTACACGTCCGTAGAAGAAATGTCAGAGACGAGTGCACAGGCATTTCAATGGGTCCTTGACGATCCCAATTTGGACGAGTATCTTTTGGAGGAATGGCGCGCCGTCCAGAGGTTTGCTCTGGCGTCCCTCTATTATGCGACCAATGGAGACAAGTGGATCAGCAATGATCATTGGTTGTCCTACAATGTTAGTGAATGCGAATGGTTTGCCAACCAGGACTGGGGCATTGAAGCCAACGAAAAACGACAACTCGCATTCCTCAATGCCATTTACGACTTTCCAGATGGACCCTGTGGCAATGACAACTCCACCGAGTACCACTACCTCATGCTGGGATTCTCGCGCCTCCAAGGATCGTTGCCACAGGATCTCTATCTCTTGACCAATTTGAGATGGATTTATATACTGGGGAATCAATTGACGGGGACCATTAGTACTTCCATTGGAACCCTCACTCATTTGGAAGCATTTGGAGTTCCGGCCAATGGATTTTCCGGAACGTTGCCAACAGAACTCGGCCTGTTGACATCTATGAATGGATTTTTCATTTTTCAAAATAAATTCTCGGGGACCATTCCAACCGAACTGGCACTGGCGACTTCATTGAATGGAGCCATTTTGGATTTCAACCAATTGAATGGACACATCCCCTCGGAATTGGGCACCTTGCCAGCGCTTCTCCTGCTCCATGCCCATTCCAACCAGCTTTCCGGGATGGTGCCAACAACGATTGGGCAACTCCGCAATTCACTCATGTCGTTGGAAGTTTATGAAAACAAGCTGGAGGGCAACATTCCCAGTGAACTCGGTCGGTTGAAGCGATTGACCAGTCTCCGCCTGCAAGACAATTTGCTCACATCTACCATACCCTCCGAGCTGTTCCTCCAGACCAAAAGTATGCAGAGCTTTCGGGTTTCCCAGAATCAACTCGTTGGCTCTCTCCCCACAGAGATTGGCTTGTGGGAAGATCTGTCGAATTTGTGGCTGGATCATAATGGTCTCACAGGAGAGCTTCCCAGCGAGATTGGGTTGTTGCAAAACGATTTCATTCGGCTTTCCATTTCCGAAAACAACTTTTCGGGATCATTTCCTCCGGAAATCTTTAACCTGACACAGGCAAAATTGAGAATGCTGGAGATTGATGGCAACCCTTTCTTGTCCGGGACAGTGCCCTGGGAGGTTTGTGGCATCGAAACGCGGATTCTGTTCACTTGCCCTTCCATGATCTGCGGATGTGATTGTCCGTGTCCTGATGATGATGGCAATGGCAATGGTTCTTTGAATAATGTCACTGATGAAAGTACAATTCCTCCAGCATACGTGTGCACCAATGAAACTGCAAGTGTCATGCGGTGCATGGGAGTGGAGGAGGATACCTGAATGAGCAAGCAAGAAGCAAAAGTAATAGGAACCCTGGCTAGTTAGTTACACACACTTTATTTATTTGAGAGTCGACGCATACATCTCCTGTACTAGTACTAGTACGCGTTGTCTCGATCAATGGATGAACGACGAATCAATGATCTGAGATCCGGGACACCGCCAAGATGCTAGGACCAATCACCACAGCTGTTTGGCTGCTCACAGTACATGTACTATTGCGATGCGCTTCACGATTCTGATGAGTGACTTGCCTAGCTAGGTATCTTTACGAAACAGCAACTCACAAACTTAGACCAGAAGCACACTACTAGCTAGTAGCTCGCTGGACTAGGTGGCTCTGTGGTAACTTTCCGGTGGGTTGGATGGATTCTTTCTTCTCCCATGAGAATCATGTACATGTATCTCTTCAGAAAACAGGCACGGGTGCAACGCCACATCAGCCATCTGCTTTGTTCCTCTACTAGAACAGTTTCTTCGGATCATTGAATCATTCGATTCGATTCGATTCGATTCGATTCTTGTGAGTGCGTTAATGAACCGGCCGTGTTCTAAACTTAACCATAGACATGTATGTGTGGTGTCCCGGTATTTTTTTAATAGTTGCTTTGGTTGATGCTATTCTTGTCAGCGCATTATGAACCATGGCCCACACGCCGAGTCCAGCTACAAGTACCGGTAGCTGGTGTCCCGGTAGCTCTGGCTGCATCGTCGAAGCGTTGGTTGATAAAAATAATCAGCGACGTCGGCAGTGCGCAACGTGGCAGCTGTCTATAATTCCGGTGGCTTTCTGAATTTACTACCAGTTTCTTCAGAAACTTGCCACGCACAGCTCACGCACTACCGGTGCCTAGCTAGTAGCTTGTTTGGGTGGAAGCCATGTGCCCCAGGACCCCTCTGGGACCAGGCTTGGGGAGAGGTGTATCTCCAAGATGATACCGGCAGCAAGCTAGTCTAGCTTGGACAGGTGCCGAAATCTCTGAGGAACTGAGGAAGACTGCCTCTGAGGAAGACTGCCTCTGTAGCTATCGTTCGCGCCCAGGGAGGCAACGGACTTCACTATGGACTATACCGGTAGCTGTAGCACTCTCTGCTAGATTCCACTAGCCAGCTACCGTACTGCAGCTAGCAAACGAAGTTAGCAAGAAATCTTTAAGCATCAACTGGCTGCTTACTATGATTATGTTATTGGCAGTCCAAGGGCTCGGCAAGCATGAGATGCCGTTGTCGAGGTAACGGAGAAGTGCATTCATACAACACGTAATGAGAATCGAATCAAAAATGGTCTTGGCCGGGTCCAAGGCAGAATCAGCAACGCACCACGTTGCTTGCTAGCTAGCTAGGTTAGGCAGCAGGGGCGACGTCCTTTTCTTTTTGCTGAAATAGAAAGAGGACACTCCAACGAAAGAAGAGAAAATCTTCCTCGCTGCAGACTCGTGCCACAGCTTGCTCCTGCTGCTGCTTGCCTGCTGCGGGATACCTCGTGCCAATCAAGGCTCGGATGGCCCCGACACAATGCAGAGTGAGTTCTGCCTGGCGTGCCGCACTGAGAGACTGTGCATGATAATGCTGCAGATAACCCAAGTTGTTAAAGAGAGCAAGTAGCTGCAACAGCACGTAGTCATCCATCGTTTCTTCTACCATGCAGTTTTCCGCAACAGACAGAGCCATCTTGTAGAGCTTAATGGCCATGTTCAGATCACTGGCTTGGTGCGTCTCGAGCCAGGCCAGAGTATGACTGAGGCCCAGGTTGTACAAGACCACGCAGGACGTACGGTTCTCGCCCGCGTTGTCCGGGAGCACAAAGGCTCGATCAAAGCAACGAAAGACCGAACCAGCACGATCTGTGCGGCCATCTTCTTCGTCATCCACCGTACTCGAGTACACAGCAAAGTAAGCCCTCACTCCAACGGGAACACAGATGCGGCCAACACCACTGCCTCCACTGCTTCTGCGAGATTCGGTAGTAGATTCTCCAGAGTCCAGATTGGATCTTACCGCTGCCAGGGCCTCTTGAAGCTTGCCAATAGCATGACTGTGGTTGCCTACCTTGAGGAAATCAACGGCTTGGCCGTTGAGTGTTGAAACGCGAGGTGTTTCCTTAGTATTCATGGTTCCTGTTTGTGTTTGTGTTTGTTTTTACTTCGGGCTCCTCCTCAATTTGAAGTTGTGAAGGGAGGAAAAGTTTGAGAGAGAGAGAGAAAAGGAGTGATGAGAAAATTGGGAAAGAAACTTGGATACAGACCTGGCTCCTTCCAGATTTTTTATCGGAAGCAGTTCGGAAGCATCTCGACGAATGATAATCGAACCGATGACGCCATTCCTTTGCTGCGTATGACCAGGTAGTCTGCACGTGGAGGCGTACTTGTAGATTCTTTGGCGACTGGGATGATTTAAGAATAGCTAACTGCAAGTCAGATTTATTGACTGCTCTTTGCATCATTGAAACAGGGGGTCTTCATGTTAAAGATGACCACGTACGAAGGTCACTCTCACGACTCTATTCTACAAGACCGGTACAAGTATGCTAAGCCAGTCTAAGCTTTTAATAATACATGTAATAAACTACTTGCTAGAGCTCTGAGTACTGTCATGCTCTCATGCAGGGTGTGGGACTCACATGAAATACACGCTGCGTGTACTCGATGTGAGTACGGGTACTGAGTACTGAGTATACTCTTCCCCTGACGCAAGAAACTATGGACTGCAGATGGACTACCGGCATCGGTATGGTACGAGTAGCCCGAAACCTTCGCTTTGTCTTTCTGGGAAGGGCAATGTTATTAGGGAGGGTCATGACTGCAAGGACTACCAAAGAATACCGCGGACTGTTCAATAGTCCCAGCAAGTTTCTTCCTCCTGTGCCATTACGGAACTGCCCCCCAAAGGTCGTCGCGGTCACTGGTCATTGAACATTCATTTATGTTTAGAATCAACAAACCCTAAATACTCCTCCAGAAAAGTCTAGGCACCAGGCAAAGAAAGGAATTTCTTACATCATGTTCTGTCCAAAATCCAGATGAAGCACGAAGTAGAGCCGAAGTACATAAGATGACATTGTAGTAACTTTTGAAGTGCTCTATAATAACTACTACAACATGACATTGTAGTATTGTAGTATCTGATATCTGAGCTTCTATCTCTGAAAGTGGGTCGCGCCTGGCTGGGTGCGTCTGTAGCTTGCTTGGAATCCTAGATGCCGCTTTGGCTAGTACCAATATCTTGTAGTACTGTAGTTATAGCTAAGAGCAAGGATGAACCCAATGGTAAAGTTCAGCCCTACAGTGAAAGATCCAGAAGAAAGCAACCCTTTGTCTTGGCTACATGTGCCGGTATTTGAAAAGGCTGGCTGACCATCCAGCATTCACGTGAAGCAAAGCTGCATGAAAGCTCTTGGGAAAACGAACCAAGAGCGGAGTTGTCATGCTTGGACAAGCTCTTGGACCTTGGACATCTTCTAACTCGCTCCTCTCGGAATTCAGCAGACTGCAAAGGACGCACGCAACGTGGGAATGTAATGAGTCAAGATTGAGAATCATTCACGATGGCTGCCTTAGAATGTACTAGCTCTGGTAGTTTACCGATGAATGGTGACCCGAAAGAGTTCGCTCTTCCTTCAACGAGTTGGGGAACTCAGACACCGCTGTGTCTCGTAGATGCCGCTTGGCCGACCCGATGGCTGGTCGTGAGCTCCCAACTCCCAGTGCTGCCCGGAACTGGTACATGTTCTGTCAACAGGCTTGAAGCATGAAGAGCTCATTAAGTACTGGCTAGTAGCCTTTGAAGTGCACTGTTTGCTGGGGCTGGCCGTTCAGCCAGATTTTTGACCCTGCTCTCCTGGCTAGCTCTGGCTCGGAGCTCGTAGACTGCCACTTGGCTGGCCAGCCAGCCAGCAGACTAATCATGAGATATTATGTAAACATCATGGAAACCCAATCGTAGAACAGTCCACTTTGTTGAATGAAGGATTCAGTAGAAAGTAACTCTTTTGTCTTTGGCTAGCTAGCTAGGAGGGCCAGTCTGATAGTCAAGCACTCACGTGAAAGCTTCATGGAAGCTCGTTGAAAAAACGCACGAAGAGCGGTCGTCATTCGATTCGCCGTTACGGACATCAAACACCTCTAAAACCACTGATACCAGAACCTTTCGTTGGCAGTCACCTTTCGTTGGCAACTGTCAAATTCCTTCTGGGAATTCCCGGAACTCCACAAACTGACTTTTTCACAGGGAAGTCACGTGCGGAAGTTCTCAATCAATACTCATGACTGGCTGCTGGCGAGTCCGAAAGGAATGATTACCCTTCGAGGAGTTGGGGAACTCCCTTCCTTTGATTGAATCGAATCGAATCATTCGGAGAACCAGGTGGTACCAGTAAGGAGTAGTCTAGATGAGGACTTGCCAACTAGCCTAACTGCTAAGATCAGGACTACTGAGAGTGCAATTGGTCCAATCCAGGTTGCAACCCTGGGCTGAAAATTGAGGAGGTTGTCGACAATTTGGTTGATGTATCAAGAAGTGGCTGAAGATTGGCTAGTAGTGCACGGATTGGAGGTCCGGGTTTAGGCTGTACGCAGTTCTGACACAGGGCTGAAGAAACCTCAAAGCCACCTCTCAAATACACTGTTCGTTCCCCGCCAGTATGAAGGGATTGTTTGCTTCTTTTTTTAAAAGTAAAATTGAAGAATGGTTCTTTTGATCGTGCCTGGTGGCTGCCTGGCTGAAAGACCACAGCACACCAAAGGTGGTTCCAAGCAGCCAGTGTAATGTGTCAACCTGCTGTGCAGAGGACACAATCACAGGCAGCCTGAGACTTGTTCTTCTTGGAAGCAGAGGTGGGCGGCTACCATGTTCACCACTCACGTTGTCGTTGCCTGCTTTCATAGTGGCCGTTGTGTCCAAAGCTTGCCCTCAAGCCAACGGCGTCCATCCAATCAAATGCACCAGCCAAATGGAAGCCATGGAGGGAGATACAGTACATGCCTAGCTAGCTACTGTATTAATAGCAGCAGTGCATTATTGGAGCAGAACCTACAGGAAAGTCCTGCAAAAGCTGGAATCGCTGAATGGATCTGTAAAAGTGTTGAATTTGAGTTCAACAGTGTTGACTTTTGTTAAACAGTTGTTCAACACTTATTTAAACACTTTTTCAACACTTTTTCAACAGTGTTGAATACTGTTTAACACTGAATTCAACAGATGTTGAATCCATTAGTAGATAGTTACAGTAAAAGTGTTGAAAATAATGTACAAAAATGCAACAGTAAATCCAACAGTTGTTGAAACGGAGTCAACATTAAATCAAGAGCTCTTCAACACTTTAATTAACACTTTTTCAACACTTGTTGGATTTATTCAACAATCAGGCTGTTTAATTAAAGAGTATCGCAAAAACTCAGTTTTTGCGGGACTTTCCTGGGGTTCATTTTATAAAAAAATGAGTGCACATACATTCAACCAAAAATATCCACCCGCACCACTTTGTAACTGGAACCGGTACAGTCAACACTCACTAAAGTTCCACCCCCCAGCATTAAGAAAAAAACGGAACTTAGCTGAATTACGGAACTTTAGATATTTGGAGCCCCATATCGGCCTGTTCGTGGTCTTAGGACCCACTTGGGGTGGTTCCTGTCATATTCTATTGTTGTTGGGGGGAAAGGAGAGATAAGTGGTCTTGGGGTGGAACTGCTTTGCTCCTATGTATGGTGTCTGTATTGTGTTGGACAAGTAGAACATGCTATGTGGCTAGCTAGTTTTGAGCTCTCTAACATGCCTGTCATGAAAGATAGATGAAGAAACTTCATATATGTATAAATGAACAATCTGAATGCTGGGTCCTAATTGGCAGCACTGTCTCAAACTGCCACAAAGCACATTCACTTGTCAGTCATGAGAACTAGTGACTCAGGGGGGGCAGCCCTGAAAAAGAGGAACTTTGTAGAGTAATGGAACTTAAGAAAACGGAACTTAAGTGAGTGTTGACTGTACCGACAGCGCACGGACGGCGGACGGTCGAAAGATCCAAAAGATCGCGATCCTTTGTGAAGAACAATGATGAGAACCGTAACTCTTCCACTTCCCTCATTTTTGTTGGCAGCAATCCAACGCCAATCCCATCCTCAATCCATAGCCCACTATAAGGTACCTGTAGTAGTACCGTAGACTTAAAAGACACCATGGCTACAGCAGCGATACATTCGAGAGATGCCACGGGCATGAAAGTCTCGTTTCGCGAAGATGTGGTGTTTTCTCCCGAGGACACCAAGGCGCTGTCGACTCGGTCCGGAATCTCCCACTCGAGTTATGGTTCGGGTGACTCGCCGTCTTCCTCCACCAACAAGTTTTCCAAACTCCGCTCCGGTCTCATTCGGGAACAAACGAATCGAGATCCCTTTTTTTCGTATCAGGTCACACGCCATTTGGGCGCTGGATCCATGGGCGATGTCAAGTTGGTCAAGAAACGAGCCGATAAAGTGGGCGGATCGGCCCGACGAGACATTCAAGAAGCTGTGAGGCGACAAAAACGAGAAAAGGAGTGTTTGCGAATGCCCGTGGTGGGTTCCATCTTTCAGTTCTGTGTCGATGGCGATCTCAAAGTCGACGACGGATCGGCCAGTCATCACAGCTTTCTCAGCATCACCAAAGCCGTGGGGGAAGATCGCACGGTTTCTACTACTTCGAGGAGTTTTGAAGACTCGCTTTTGAATGGACTGGGTGGTGCGTCACCCGACAACAACAACAATAATAATAGCCACGAAATCATTTATGCCATGAAATCAATCCACTTGAATCAGGTCCATCGCAAAGAAATTGTCGACGAATTGAGAAATGAAATTGCCATTTTGAAAGACTTGGATCATCCCAATATTGTACGAGCGATTGAAACCTTTGAATTCAATGGGAAAATATCCATTGTCATGGAAGTCTGTTCCGGTGGAGACTTGTTTGCACGTGATCCCTACACCGAGCCAGAGGCCGCTCGCATTGTCAGTTCCGTTCTGAGCGCCATTGCCTACATGCATTCTCGACAAATTGTACACCGGGATCTCAAGTTTGAGTAAGTGGCTTTTTCATTCAGTCATGTCATACTATCCCTTGGATTATTCATTCGTTTTCTGCTCTCCCTGATTATTGACGACACGACTCCTCCCTTCCTACCGCACAGGAACATTTTATGGGCCAATACATCTCCCATGTCCGAAATCAAACTGATCGACTTTGGTCTCTCCAAAGTCTACGTGGATCACAACAAAAAACTCACAGACGCCTGTGGAACAATATACACCATGGCACCCGAAGTCATCTTGGGACAACACACGGAAAAGGCAGACATGTGGTCCATTGGTGAGACAACAAGTGTTACGCTGTGTACTTATTTGTACTTGCGCCTCGTAAATCTGTACATTGGTGAAACATGATTGAATCCATCATTCCTAACTTACCACTGATTGACGTTCCTGTCCACACAGGCGTGGTTGCGTTTATGCTACTGGCTTCAGCACTTCCGTTTCATGGCAAGGGACAAACGGAGGTCATGAGACGCATTGTCAACAATTCGTACGCGTTTGATGGACGACGATGGAAAAGAATTTCACCACAGGCCAAAGACTTTATTCGACAGCTGCTCGTATCGGACCCCGACCATCGCGCCAATGCCGAACGGGCTCTGGCATCCGAGTGGTTGACGCTCCAGTCGGCACCGACGGGTACCGAAAGGGCTCTACGACCGGAGGAAGAGAAAATGGTGGTGGCCTCCATGCAACGATATTCCGGGTATCCCAAACTTCAAAAGATGGTACGTATTATATTAGACAAGCAAGCAAGCAAGATGAAGCAACCTTCTTGTGTGTGATTGGAGTGTGCTGGTCACTCACGAAATAACTTACTCGCTATTAGGCACTGATGGTCGTGGCGCACAAGTCTAGCAGCGAAGAGATTGGCGCCTTGCGCAAACAGTTTCAGAAATATAACTCCCGACATGATGGCTCCATTTGGTTCGACGAGTTTTGCAAAGCCATGAGCGAATATAACCATTCCAATGAAGAATTGCGCTGTATATTTGATGCCATGGTGAGTCGAGTCAGTCAGTGGTGTTTTGATCCTTTTGCTGGGATTGTACTGTATTGTATCGAGCTAAGATTCCGACTCTTTTATTTGCAGGACTTGGCTGGTAGCGGCAAAGTCCGATACACGGAGTTCATTGCCGCCACCATTGAAGCCCACGGGGCAATCAGCGAAGCTCGTTTGGCAGAAGCATTTGATCGCCTGGATTGCGATGACTCTGGGTACATTACGGCCGATGACTTGAGAGAAATTCTGGGCGATGGCCTTTCACGGGAGGAAATCGATGCAATTATTGCCGAAGCAGACTTGACCAAGGACAAAACTGTCTCCTACAGCGAGTACTTGGCACTTTGGGAAGGCAAACACGAGACCAACAAAGCTGAAAACCCCAAGGCCTTACAAAGCGAATTCACAAGCTTTCGGTCGGAGATGGACGCCTCCGATATGGAAGCAGCCGACGCGCGGAACGCCTTCCTCCAAGAAAAGAACCTTCAAAATACACTCCATACATGGTCTCTGGAGATGCAGCTTCCAACCCAAGAGTTTGCGAAGGGATGCAGTTTCTTGCATGTAGTGGCCCTGGGCAATCTATCCGATGTGGAGGTGGTCCTAGAGGAGCGACCTACGCTCAGTCTATTCCGAGACTATGACCGCCGAACAGCCCTGCACATTGCTGCTGCAGAAGGTCATGTGGATATTTGTGCATATTTGATAAAGAAGGGAGCCAGGGTCAACCGGAGTGACCGATGGGGTGGCTTTCCACTGGATGATGCCCACAGGCATGGATGCTCTGATGTAGTCAACCTATTGCGCAAGCAGGGAGCCAAATTTGGAAACACTTCTCAGACAGTAAATCTCATCACAGCTGCTTCACAAGGAAATGTTGAGGAAGTCAGGACACTGTTGGAGTTTGGAAGCATGGATTTGAATCAAGGTGACTATGATCACCGTCGGGCATTGCATTTGGCAGCCAACGAAGGTCATTTGGAAGTAGTGAAAGTACTTTGTGAGGCTGGGGCTGATGTCAATGTGAAAGATAGATGGGGTATGAAATGCGATGAATGGTGCTGAATCGCGTTGAATCAGTCCTTGCTCACATCCTTTTCCATTCTTTCTTGACCTTCCAGGGGATCGGCCACTGGATGATGCGAGAAAGGCCAAGAAAAATGCAAGCGCCATAGTGAAAGTTTTGAGTGGAGCTGTTGTTGTGCCTTCCCCCGATCAACAATCCGCAAGAATGCATGATTTGTCAGCCCAACAAAGAGCGACTTTGAAACCAGCTGAATCACAAGATGAAGGAATGACACAACTCCCAGTTCAAGAATTTGCCATGGGATGCAGCGTTCTCCACCAGGCAGCCTTGGGGAACCAGGTTGTCTTGGAAATGATATTTCTGGAGCAACCTGCACTGATTCATTTCAGGGATTATGACCGCCGTAGTGCACTGCACATTGCTGCTTCAGAAGGCCACGAGGGCATTTGCCAATATTTGGTCATGAAAGGTGCAAGGATCAACCGTGTTGATAGATGGGGAGGGTCTCCTCTTGATGATGCCCACAGGCACAAGCATGCAGATGTTGTCAAGTTTCTCCGTGAGAATGGTGCAAAATTTGGAAGCACCTCTCAGGTGACCAACTTCATCACATCAGCATCAGAAGGAGATGTAGAGGAAGTTCAATCCTTTCTGGAATTCGGAAGTGTTGAAATAGATGTTGGAGATTACGACAAAAGAACAGCATTACATCTAGCCGTTGGTGAAGGGCATTTGGAAATTGTCAAGTTGCTCTGTCAGGCCGGTGCCAATGTCAACGTCGAAGATCGATGGCGACATCGCCCTCTGGATGATGCAAGGTACACCAAGAAGAATTCTGCTGACATCATGAAGGTCCTGCTAGAACATGGGGCAAAATCCACCAAGATTTCTACCATGATGAGGACAGCTCTTTTGAAGTTGATGGGAAGGTAGTGCGTAGTGCAACTCAGCCTGGCGGAGGCTGCGTATATCAATGCCAATAAGCAAACGAACTAAGTTGATTCCCTGATTTCAGAGACTTGGCGAAGAAGGATTGATCCGTTTTGATCCATTGTTGGATGATAAAAACAAGATCAGAGTTTTGAAGTTAACTGTAGTACGCGTCGAATAGTCCTTAGAATACGGTAGAGACGGAAGACGATTCAACCACCCTCTATAGCTCTCTAGGTAGCTCTAGAACTTTGGATGCTTTATGACGCTTCCGCCGTACGATGTATTAAAATAGCAACGTGAACTTCGCGAGAAGTCGAGCACCGAGCACCAGCTTTGCAGAGCAAGCAACCATGCCCCAGAGCCGGCCAGTCGTGGGAATCGAATCGATCACCCATCCATTCGTTCCACGTGCCAGAAAGCCGCCGCCTTGAACCGTTACAAGAGCAGAAAGGTCGTCTTCAATGCAAATAAATGTACCGGTACCAGTACGTGTACCGGATCTTGAGTGTTCCGTTTGATGTCCCAGATTTCGATTCGGCCAAACTATCTGCACAAAGGATCTCTTTGGCTCAGCGGCCGGCACTGGTACATTGTACCGGTCGCGAGTTTCGCACCACAATCTGCAATCTGCAACACCCTCACAGCATTGGACCTTGTGCAAATTATTCGCTTTCCTGAATTGACTTCTTGCATAGTCCAGACTAAGGATGGTCTGAACCTCCAACTAAGATACTTCGACCAACATAATATCACTTTCACTTCCACACAATCAGATCAAATCAGCAAAATGATGTTGGACACAACCAAAGAGCTTCCGTTCGTGATTGGGGCTGGTGTGGGTCGAACAGGCACCCATTCCCTTCAGGCCGCCTTGATTACCCTGGGCTACAACAAACCGTTTCACATGCATGAGATTCTGGATGGACTTGTGGATGCGGATCCATGGTTTGAGCTGGCGGCAAATGAACGAGCCACAGGAATGATCAACAACACATTGGCCCTCAAGATGGCTCAAAATGTCATTGATCTTGGATACACTGCCACCACTGACTACCCCTGCTGCTTCCTCTATTCTGAATTTTTGGAGCTCACCAATGGCAAAGGAAAGGTCATTTTGTCGGTCCGATCCAGTCCAAGTGACTGGAAGAAATCGGTCCTCGATACAATTGGGATCCTTTCTCTTCCATTCTTCAAGCCACCATTTTCATTCAGCCCATTCTTTTCCCAGTTTGCTGGTGTCCTTGTCCCTTGGCTGTGGGAACGCACTGGAGTTGCCAATCTAGGACAGATTGATGTCCCTACGGAATCTTTAATTGACTACGAAGACAGCATGGAGGCTGCCTACACACAATGGATTAAGACCATCAAGAAGCAAGTGCCTCCTGAACAGCTCCTTATTCATCATGCCAAGGACGGGTACCCCCCACTCTGCAAGTTTCTTGGTATTGAAAAGGCTGACTGCCCAAAAGAAGACTACCCCCATATTGGTGACACACAAGAAATGAAGCAGTTGATTCGAACATTTGAGATTGTGACAGAAGTCTTTTGGCCAGTTGTAGCCTTGCTAGGCCTGCTGCTGGTGCTAGTGATTCGGCGTGTGATGCGTAGGAACGGAAAGGGAATGTTCAGCAAGACCGCAAAAAAGGTGGACTGAGCACTGAATGTTGAAACTTTATGATTCTTCCAAGGTTGCAACGAGCAATCGTTTTCTTCGGTAGATAACCTCCCAATACTAGACCCCCCGTGTCATCAAATAGCACTACATGTAGCTACTAGGAGAGGATACTCGCTTCGATTCGAAATTCAGCGAGAGGAAGACGAGCACGAGCTTTGGCAGAGCAAGCACCACACGATGAGAAAGACGCAGCCAGCATGCAGTGGGAATGACGAAGTGACTACGTCAACACGTGATGTTTGCGGCAGTACCCGAAGCAACAAGACAATGTGCATCAGACAAGGACAGCCAGCCGGAGGCTAGTGCCCTCAACTGGCATTTTTCTAAAGGCCAAGGAAAGGGTTCTGGTTTGATCGCTAGCCTTAACCTTGCGCGGTTTCCATGGCTAGCCTTAACCTTGCAAGGGAAACCGCACCATATGTACATAGCTAGCCTTAACCTTGCAAGGGAAACCGCACCATATGTACGCGACACACACACACACACAGCACTCAACGTACACACACCTACACACACACACACACACACACACAAGATAAAGTTCAAAAGGCCCTCAGCTTGCTAGCTGGTAGTTGAGGGCAATACCGTACTCATGCGGCAGCATTGGACGACTGTAGTATTGCCTGTCAACGAAACTGCGAAGCCTCTCGTTGCCCTTCGTACTTCGTACAGTACGGACCGTACAGTACGGACCGGCGGAGCGGAGCGGAGCGGACCGGACCGTATGCTGGCATTACAAAGTCTTTTCACACAAAACTTGCAAAAACCTTCAGGCACAGCAAAAAGAGCATTGAAATATTGAAATAGAAAGTGTTGAGAGAACGGCATCGCAAAGTGCCTTCATGGATCGAGATCTTCAACTTTGAATTGGTAATTTTGTTGGAGGGAGGAACATTTGACGACCGCTGTTTTTGATGCCGAGATGCCATAGAGCCATCTGGATGACTGCTCCTGTTCACGCGAATGGTATCTTTTTTGCCGTGTCAAAAGCGTTGGACCTTGCTGCCAATTTGCTTTCCCTGAATAACATCTTGCATAGAAGGATGTTCTGAACCTCAAACAAAGATACTTTGGACTAACCTAATAGCACTTTCACTTTCACAATCAGATCAGCAAAATGATGTTGGACACAACCAAAGAGCTTCCGTTCGTGATTGGGGCTGGTGTGGGTCGAACAGGCACCCATTCCCTTCAGGCCGCCTTGATTACCCTGGGCTACAACAAACCGTTTCACATGCATGAGATCTTGGATGGATTTGTAGATCCAAATCCATGGTTTGAATACATGCAAAATGAACGGACCACTGGAATGATCAACAACACATTGGCCCTCAAGATGGCTCAAAATGTCATTGATCTTGGATACACTGCCACCACTGACTACCCCTGCTGCTTCCTCTATTCTGAATTTTTGGAGCTCACCAATGGCAAAGGAAAGGTCATTTTGTCGGTCCGATCCAGTCCAAGTGACTGGAAGAAATCGGTCCTCGATACAATTGGGATCCTTTCTCTTCCATTCTTCAAGCCACCATTTTCATTCAGCCCATTCTTTTCCCAGTTTGCTGGTGTCCTTGTCCCTTGGCTGTGGGAACGCACTGGAGTTGCCAATCTAGGACAGATTGATGTCCCTATGGAATCTATAATTGACTACGAAGACAACATGGAGGCTGCCTACACACAATGGATTAAGACCATCAAGAAGCAAGTCCCTCGTAAGCAGCTCCTTATTCATCATGCCAAGGACGGGTACCCCCCACTCTGCAAGTTTCTTGGTATTGAAAAGGCTGACTGCCCAAAAGAAGATTACCCCCATATTGGTGACACACAAGAAATGAAGCAGTTGATTCGAACATTTGAGATTGTGACAGAAGCCTTTTGGCCAGTTGTAGTCTTGCTAGGCCTGCTGCTGGTGCTAGTGATTCAGCGTGTGATGCATAGGAACGGAAAGGGAAAGTTCAGCAAGACCGCAGAAAAGTTGGACTGAGCACTGAACGTTGAAAAAAGGCCAATCTTGTGGCAGGCTCCTTGTTTGCATTTTAGTGTATTCTCCTCAGTAATGGTGTCTACCCCAGCACAACTATATGTCAGTCAAATGCATTACTATTTGAGAACCATTATCTGTATCAACTTTCTCTCTGGTCCCAGCATTCTAATGAGGGACACCGTGTTGGTTGCTCCAAAGATCATGTTTCGTGTGTTCTTTGGTGGTTACAGCAACACCCAAGTGACTTTTCCTTTCGCATCGTCTCTTGCTTGCTCTTGCCCTATTGAATGGGGACAATTTCGCGCAAATAAGCCGCCCTTTGGGTCTACCGTACCCATCATCTGTTCAAAACCTGCTGTAGACACTTGGCCTTCTTGCCAGAAGTTCAGCCCCACCTGCTAGCGTTTGGCACCTACGTGCAATGGCCAAATGAGCGTCGCCATTGTGACCGAAGCGGCGATCTAATTGGTCCAGTCAATAGCCAAGCTTGTTCAGCAACGACCGCACTTGTGTATTGGTACTAGTAGCTCGGAGCTAGGAGAGTGGGGTGCTGGTCAGTGCTGGAGGTACCAGTACGAAGCTCCCAACCCCTCTACATTCCTCGTAGTAGACGCACACTTGATAAACTTTTGCTCTCAGACCGCAGCCTGGTACCGCCCAGCGCTCATCGCTATGCGGTTTTTGTCCGTCGTTGGGATGGAAAATTTCCCTACGTCGCACATTGGACGACTGCTTCCGTAGCCATTAATACTGGTAGTGCAAGCCAATGAGGGTGGTGCTTCAGAAAGCGGCACCGATGGCGGGCAAAATTGGAGAAAGAAGCGACGTATCAACTCGCCGGGAACACAGGAGGCGAGTCCAATTCCACATTCATGGTTGATGTCGATCTACCGATCTTGCCGCCACCTCTTCCAGCCATGAGCAACCCATGATACTATGCCGTGTTGCGTGTTGCCATACCGTACTCAGCGGTGTAGCAAACACTGCCTTACGTTTGCAACCACAGCGTCCTCTTGCACATCCACGTTTTGCGCCCGCACCATTTCGAAGGGGGGGGGGTGGAGAACATTTTCCCCATCCCATTTTTGCCAATGCTTCAACTGTTTGGGAAACGGACTAGCTCTAGTACTCAATACCCCTAGTTATTTTGTTCTCTTTACCATTGTTTACAATACCAGTGATGCTGACCATTAAACAGTAGTAACACACACTGGTTGACAGCACCCTGGTTTACCACTGTCTACGTACCACTGGTTTGGTCTTGGTTTGCCTTGGTTGGCAGGCACGGAATGGATTTCCCCTTAGTTGCAGCGTAGCCCCCGGCTTTTCTACAGTATGAAGACTGGAATTGCGGGAAAATCCAATTTCTGCTTTTGTCAGGATAAAAATGGAAGAAGAGTGAAATTGGAAGAATGACTGAATGTGGAAGAGAGACAATTAATTTTGAAGCCTTTTCTTTTCAGAAATTTATTTTAATTAAAAGAAAAGTTGTACTTGAGGAGAACAACGTGACAAAATCTGGAAGAAAGTGGGAACCTGGAAGCCTGGAACTCAATAACATGACTCAAAGTGGAAGATTAGACTAACTCAAACTTGCAGTTTGACCCAGAAAATACTCCAAAAGCAAAAAGCCCATTCCCGCAGATCCAATGGTTACGGTTACCCTCAATTGCGAATGCCCAGTGAAGCTGCCCACTGGTGCACTGCATGGTGAACTGGTGCACTGGTGCACTAGTACACTGGTACACTGGTACCACCAACCAAAACGCGGCAATGCGACAAAAAACAACATCCAAGGATCGATACCACGATACTGTATCCACATTAGATTTGAAGAACACATGAAAACATCATAACCTCATAACAACATAACCTCACAACATCATCAGCTTATTTGCAACAGCAAAGTCACAATGAACCCAACCAAAGAGCTTCCCTTCGTTGTTGGCGCTGGACTCGGCAGAACCGGTACACACTCGCTTCAAGCAGCTTTGATGACCCTTGGCTACAACAAACCTTTTCACATGCATGAGATTCTGGATGGAGTTGTGGATGCGGATCCATGGTTTGAGCTGGCGGCAAATGAACGAGCCACAGGAATGAAGAACAAAACACTGGCTCTGAAGACTGCTCAAAATGTGATTGATCTTGGATACACGGCCACCACAGACTATCCATGTTGTTTGCTGTATCCTGAATTTTTGGAGCTCACCAATGGCAAGGTCATTTTGTCGGTCCGGTCCAAGCCAAGTGACTGGAAGAATTCAGTCCTTGATACTATTGGTATCATTACTCTTTCATTCTTCAAGCCACCATTTTCATTTAGTCCATTCTTTTCCCAGTTTGCTGGTGTTCTTGACCCTTGGCTGTGGGAACGCACTGGAGTTGCCAATCTAGGACAGATTGATGTCCCCAAGGACTCTTTGCTTGATTACCAAAATGGTATTGAGACTGCCTACACACAATGGATTGAGACTGCCAAGAAGCAAGTTCCACCCGGACAACTCCTTATTCATCATGCAAAGGAAGGGTACCCTCCAATCTGCAAGTTCCTTGGGATTGCGGAGCAGGACTGCCCAAAAGAAGACTACCCCCATATTGGTGACACACAAGAAATGAAGCAGTTGATTCGAACATTTGAGGTTGTGACAGAAGTCTTTTGGCCAGTTGTAGCCTTGCTAGGCCTGCTGCTGGTGCTAGTGATTCGGCGTGTGATGCGTAGGAACGGAAAGGGAATGTTCAGCAAGACCGCAGAAAAGGTGGACTGAGCCCACCCTTGACTGAATCTCGGCCGTGGATCTATCCCACAAACCCTCAGCATATATTTTCACTTCGCTTGACTTCCGTTCTGTAATTTGTTCTCTCTAATAAGCAATGTCACGTCCGAGACTCGATTCCCGAGATGGAGACCACTAAGTTTCCCACACACTTACTAATTCTTCTGGTAGCGTTCCATTGGATTGATCTTAGGTAGGTAGTACTGGTATGACGTCTCTCCCTTCCCGCAGGCATCGAGCGGATCGCTCAGCGATTGTATTGTACGGGTGTTGCCACTATGCATTGCACGGCTATCGGTTACGGTTGCTTATCCTCCTTCAGACGAAAGAGGCACCCACCCACGTATCTTGCATTCCAGCCAAGCTGGGTACCGGTAGCTTAGTTGCTGCAGCTAGTAGCTAGCTCTAGCTAGCTAGGAGTAAGCTTGCCCACAGCCTGGTCACTAAAAAATACCCCGACCCACCCTCACAAGCAAGTTCACACAAACTACAGTCATGCACTCCCATGAGATTCTTCAGGCTGCCTCGCTGGCTAACCGCCCGGCAACTATGCATGACACTAAATCCCGGCGACAGTGCCCTTTCTACAGCTCTTTCTACCAACATTGCCCTTTTTCTACATTGCCAGTTCGCCAGTACGGTACTGTAGCCTTCGCAAGAAACGACGCAAGATGGACAGCCTACAGCAACCCCATCAATTGGCGGAGGGGGGGCGTAATGCAAATTTTCAACAACATGTTTGTGTACTGTAGTCTGAACAACTAACTACAGTCAGGTAACAAGAGACTTTGATTTATTATTTGAAGAATCCAATCGAATCTGATAGAGGTGTGGTTACTTTTTATGTAGTAATAGAGTAGTGAGATCTCATGCAGCGTAGTTGTGCAAGTTAGGATTATGAGGTCGGGACCGACGGCTGGTATTTTTAGCAGTTTAGGTACAGTATGGCTGGCAGCATGCAATGTTAGTTTTGTGCAGTAGTAGGGAGAAGGATAGTAGGATGTATACAGTGGATGCGGGAGGGAAGAGAATGATGGCACGGTCTTAGGCAGCCGGTGCAAAGGTAAAGATGTTCTCGGGAGAGGTAATGGACAGTGTGCTCCATTCAAAAAAGGCAAAGGCTTCAGTGGCGTCCTCGCACTTGGCATGGTAGTAGGCTCTGCTAGCCAAGAGTGCCTTGATGGCGGTCATGCATTGCTTGGTATCAGACTCTTCATAGCAGTAGGAATGAATGTGTCCGAGGTTATTGAAGAGTGCCAACAACTGCAGGAGCAATAGGCGGTCCGTGTGGACTTGAGCGAGTGAAGTCTCCACTATGGTCAGGGCCATCTTGTAGAGATCCCGTGCCATGGAGAGTTCCTTGGAAGATCCCCGGGAGAGCCCACTCAGGTGGTACGACAAGCCCATGTTATACAGGATAATCACAGATGCCCTGGTCTTGTTGGCGGAACACCAACGGTCGTCAGGTAGATGAAAGGCACTTTGAAAGACTTCAAAGTTGTTGGAGGATCCCACAATGGCAGCGGTTGTGTCTGGGTTGGCACAGGCCACGGACCACAAGAGCCCCTGATCTTCTGGCTTGACAGCGGATGTGGCAAACTCGTTAGCGTTGTCTGCGTTGAGCGATGCCTTGAGCACAGCCAAGGCCCTCTTGAGTGCCATGGTCGAGTGAGCATACTTTCCCTGTTGCATGGCGGCAATGGCGGCGCCATTGACGGCGGAAATGCAAGTTTGTGAGGCGGGAACAGACATCATGTTTCTTTTAATTAAAAGCTGTCCTTGTGGGAGACCAAATTGCAAGTAAAAACTTTTGGAATTGTGAGCTTTCCGTTGGAGGAATGAGAAAGTTCAGAGCCGTAGAACCTCTCTGGGATCGTGCAATCCTGCCATTGCCCTCGGCTAAAATAGGAGAGGAAGAAGATATCTTTCATGGCAACAATTGAGGTAACCAATCAGCCGGTGTATGGACGACGTGGCTCACCATTTTGTGGGCCACGTACTCATTTTCAGCTATTTTTGTTCGGTTTGGCACCCGGCCATGTTGCTTTTGGTGTCTTTTCCAGCTGTTAGACTTCTCGTCTTTCTGAGGTTGCAATAAGATCCGGTTGGATGCTGGTCAAAAAACGAGTACGTGTTGCAACCATCGCGTCGCCAAGAAGTATTTGTTAAGTGATGCAGTCATCGTACTTAATTATGAAGTTCACTTCAGGTTCTGCGGTTATTCCTTGCTTTCTGTGCCGTTCACCCTATGATTCATGGTGGGACTAATGCCCAAGCTTGCCTAGATACTGGGTTGACTGTGGGATGTGCCAATTGCCATGGGCTCCATGCTTTTCCAGCGAGTAACGTTATGTGCTGACTGATCGTAAGGAAGTAAGCATTCTTTGAGGGCTGTGATCGATGGCCAAAAGCACTTCTTACAAAACACGTGTTGCGGCTTTACGCGCGAAGAAAAGGAATAGGCTCAAGACCCCTCATGAACTTTATTAATGATCCCTTGTCAATGGTTACAGAGAGAAAGAAGAATGATTATCGAATGATATGAGACAAGGTACCATTGAAACAACGACTGCGAGAAAGACCACTGAACCTTGAACAGAGCGAACAGACACTGTCTATACAGACATTGTATCAAGCGTTTCAGATCTGATAGACTTAGAGCTGACTTGGTATACTGGCATTGAGGCATTCATGTCTTTTCTGTGGATAAGTGTGGCAACTACGATAAATAGAATACAAGAGATGCTTGAGGCCCGTAAGAAGCCCAATCTTGAATTTACAATGCAGCTCCAGCTTGTAGACTACCGGTAGCTAGCTCCGGCACCCACGTCTTTGAAGTTTGCCGTTTTCATCCTCCTGAATTGCCATGAATAGAGGTCCAGTTGTCCAGTTGCCTTCGGTAGTTTGCACTTTACACTTCCCTTTGCTTTTCGATGCAATCCAAGTGCCACACCAACAAGTAAGTTGCCATCGAGGTGGCAGGAAGCCTTCCACACAGCAAACGCCGCAGATATGTGGAGGAGGTGGTAGCAGCTGTCCATCTTTGCATCTTTGGTGTCTGCGGTACCGCGCAGAAACAGAGTCATCCACTCGAGCAATTACAGTACAGCCAATGGACGTGGTAGCAGCCAGACGTGGTTGAGCGCTGCTCATGCCGGCAAGTATCTGAAGAGGTTTTGATGGGTTGTTCTGAGGAGATGGCCCATCCAGGTTCTGAGGACACGGGTCAGGCAATTGGGAAACAGCCAATGATGCTACCAGTACATGCTGTCTCTGAACCATGGCTAGCGGGGAGCGCTTGCTGTTGGCTAGGATGGCAACTGCTACGTGTAAGAAAGCTTGAGGGTACATTGAATGTTTTCGTAAATGGAAGTGTTTTAGAAATATTAGACAAAAGTGTTATCTTGAAGAAGAACTCAACTAGGAAGCAGTGTTGCTGCCAATGCGCAGGCCAGTTGCAGTACCTGAATTGCTCAAGCTGCTGGTGCCAACCAGACAGGAATCTCAGGGTACAAGAAGAAGTGCCAGGAAAAGAAGTTGTAATCCTCTTCTTGTAGATGCTCGTAGCTTTCGCTGGATTCAAGGATCATCAGGATAGAATCCATGCAGCCAGAGACTTGAGCGGATTCAAAGTGCTCAGAATAGATGTGCCCCAGATTGTTAAACACTGCCAGGATCTGCAGAAGGCTCTGTTCAGCAAGCTCCTCAACAAAGTCACCCAATGTTGCTGCCTTTTGATAGAGGCTCACAGCTTGTTGCAGGTCCTTGGACTTGCCAGTAGCCAGTCCTCGCTTGTGGTAAGTCAAAGCCAGGTTGTAAAGGAGGCAGCAGCTGACCAAGTTTTCAAGATCCACACTGAGCAAGATCTCGCTCTCTGAGAGCCTGCAGGGAAGAATGAATGCCTGATCAAAGAGAGAGAACTGATTCTCGTTCTGTAGCACATTGGATGGACTGCTTGGACCGGTTCTGGTTGGGATGGCAATGCGGTTGTCAATGCTGCTGCTGCTGCTGCTGCGTTGCGTGGTATCGGCCTTGATAGTTCGATACAGGACTTCTCGCAACCTCATTAGTGCCGATTGGAAGGTGTTGGCGGCTTCTCCCAATGAACCTTGTTGCAGGTAGTGAATCCCTTGGTTATTAAGATCAAATACTGTGGATGTCATTGTGATGTTTGTGGTTGATTGATTGAAATATTCAAAACTGAGCTTGGATCTTTGCTGGGCACAGCAGGGTTGGAATAATGAGAGTTTCTTGTAGGGCTGTAGACTGGAGAATTCTATCTATCTTTTTGTGGTTGAGACCAGCGCAGTCCTCCACCAATCTTGCTTGGATCGCTGTGTTGGCTGCCTCCGCTGACCACCGAGTAGAAGCAGCTTCGTCCCGGGTAGCTAGCTCCCTACTACCGGTAGCCAGTAGGCAGGTACACTCCGTACACTACCGGTACATCGTACTACTAGTACGGTAGCTACTACTCGAGTACATGTAGTATGCTCCAAGGTAGGCTCCACAAGTTCAGATTTCTGTAAAACGGATACTCCTCTTTCTAGTACAGAAATTGCTACATTATCCCCGTTGCGGTACTATTCACCGATACAGGAGGCCATTATGAGAACAGTTGTTGGTTCGTTGGTTCTGAGGATCCGCCAATTGGGATGGTCCCGGTAAAGCATATGGCATTGACTTATTGATACGTTTCTCTTATGATTTATCAATTCTGGCCCCTTCTTGATATCTTCCCCTCCAACAGGAAGCAGCAGTTTTGTTCTTTTTCTCCTTTTCTTGGAGAAGTACCGTCACTATCAATTTACAGTAGACCTTTGAAAATTATATAAGTCCAAGACAACCCCTATCTGTGGCCATTACCACTCATTTCGGCAAATTACAGATGCAAAGGTTTGACACCGGTTTTAACATTCGGGCCTGGATGTTAAAAATAAATGTCCACCAAAGACCAAAGATATTTCGACTGGTTCCTGCCAGATGTTCTGAAAGGGTATCTGGAAGGGTATCGCGCGGAGCATCATCGAATTCAGCGGAAGAAGTTCTTAAAAGAAGGAAATTTTCCCTCTTGGAACACTGGACGCCACTTCGATTTGCTCTTAATGCCTACTGGCAGCAGAACAGCAGGACAAGGCCTGGTACAGTCAACGCTCGCTTATATTTATAATCTTGTATTTATTCGCTCTATAATATTTAAGAATACTCCAGTTCCCACATTTTTAACTCTAACCCTATTTTAGTACTAGAGCACGTACAATTCTACGGGAATAGTTAGGGTTAGGGATAAAATCAATATTTATTCTCGCTGTTATATTTACTGAATTCCTGAATCCCCCCAGTATATATATCTGAATGTTGACTGTATCTAACTACTGGAAATTACAGTGGCCACGATGCCACGACAGAATGAAAAGGTTGAAAGCAAACAACTGTTCCGGTTCAGTGTTCAGTTGGAACAGCTGTTGGAACGTCAAAGTTTGCACTCTGAAGTAGCCGGATGAATGAAGGTGCCAGGTTTTGACAACTCAGCAGATGGTTGCTTGTCGCAACCACTACTAGCTAGCACTGGTTACAGCCTGGTTACTACTCTTGGAGCAGTACTCTGGAGTAGTGCCAAGAACTCATATATATCTTAGGACAATGTTCATGCAGATGCACACAAACGTTCAAGATACTAGTAGCTCAAGATCCAGTAGAGGTGTTGTAAGCTGCAAGGTCGGCTGTACTGTCTTGATCTAGTAGCTGTTGGAGCTCTGTTTTGCTGTGGACGATGCTGACCACTTTTTGCCAAATACAGTTGACTCGCTCTATTATTTATGGGGGGGGATTGCGGATTTCGATAAATATATTAGAGAGAATAAATATAAGGCTTTCAAGGGCCGGTTCCACTAGTAAAGTATGAATGGATAGAGCCGTCGCGTTTACGTTTGCCTGCCCTAGCAGCCCTAGCCACATTCAATGCCCTAGCAAACCTGTCAAGATGCACAGTGGCTGCCTGGTTGATACCCAAAGCAGAGGCACTTTCGGACAGCTTATTGAGTGCTTCTTCAGCTTCCGCAAATGAGGCAAACACATCGGCTGGTTCGGGATCATCCTCCATTTGTTCCGGTTCCTCGTCATCAATCACAGCCAGTTCCGCTTCTGTTGTTTCGACTTCCAGCGCTTCAATCTCTTCGTCGACGGTTGCACTAATGACTTCGGGCTCATCCTCGACATCGATTCAATTCTCCGCCATTTGCATCACATCGTCCCCAGAGTAGAGATCGTAATCAGCCGCAAATGATCCTTGCAATGCAATTGTATGCCTTGCAAGTTGGTTGAATCGGCGCCGTTGGTTGAATCGGCGCCGTTCATGTTGGTCTATGTCAGATTGGAGGGTTTGGTATGGTTTGGGTGAAATTGTTTGGCAGCTCAGGAGAATTGTTTTTGTCTCCTCGAAACCATCCTTCGAAAACTGCACGTAAACAACCAGCGCTTGGGCTGGCCCAGACAAGACAGCCACGGGCAGAGGTGCGAGGAATCCCACCTCCATTGGATCGATATTGGCATTTTACATGCTGTCTCGGTCAAATTGAAACGGTTGGAATGGATTGGACGACGCTGTCGGGCTGCTCGAAAGATTTGTTGCTGCTCGAAAGATTCATTCACGGATACCCGGGACTGAGGGGGGGACCTCGAGATTTAATAAATATTACAGCGAGGATAAATATAATATTATAAATATTAGCGCGAGTAGACTGTAATTCTAAAACTGCTTCCCCTTGAAACTGCCGTCTGTTTTGTGTCACTGGATCCCCTTGATCAGGAAGATTCGATTGGACGGCCTGAGAAAGCTAAAGATGCGGCTTGGAATCTGATGGAATCGATGCGAATGATTCAATCATGAGATCTTGGACGAGAGAACCAATAAATGAAACTCCTGTAGGGATTGGGGAGATGCGTTGATGCATTATTGATTCGATTGGATTCGATTCCAGAACCTCCTGGAAATCCTACCGGTATATCTGTTGGTGGTGTGTTGGTGGTGGGGGTTTGGATGATGTGTGGATGAACGTTTCAGGCCAAGAACCAATGCAGTGCAGCTGGTCTGACGGTAGCTAGCTGCCAGCTAGGGCATTCAACCCCAGGAGCCCCAACGAAAGCAGATCAAAACTGCATCTGGCTGTGGCACTGCCTTGCTGGAGCTTGAACTGAACTTACAGGTACCAGGTACCGGAAGTAAATGCTGTAGATGCTGGCTGCGCTGGTGGCTGCCGACTTCTGGCTGGTGACTGTTGCTTGCCTTCGGACGCTTGTGTACCGGTAACGTAGCTCCCGTCAGTTATCAGTAGTAGCTACATGTAAGAAACGCTCCAGGAGCAAATGGCTGGTGAGTTGGTTTACACGCCACCGGTATTCTTGGCAGGGTTGGTAACTACTCATATAAGTGGCTGCTGAATCAGCAGTGTTTTGGTCAGCATAGGATTTGTATACTCAGCGTCCTCGTCCCGCGACTATCAAAGCCAGAGTTCACTAACCTACGAAAAGCCTACAGATTGTTCAACGTACAGCCAGCATTCAGTGTACCGCAAACCATTGTGCATCTTTCCACCTCGAATCTACATGATGTAGCTCTTTGCAGCGTCCTTCTACGTGCTGAACTTCTATGGATTGTGGACGAAACTGGCAGTGTTCTACGCCATTGCTGGGACCTGACATGAAAAAGATACATGTTCCGAAAATGACGAGGCTCAATGGGCGATGCATAGCCTGGATTTCGCCGGCCACATGCATTCCACCTCAAAGAAAACATCCAAGCGGCACACGGACAATTGTACAACAACCAGGTCCCTCTCCGGTGATTTCAAAGAGGCTGCCAGCACTGTCGTTGTTCACCATGGCTGCAGTGGTAAAAGACCACCCAATGCCATTGACTGCCACACGGAAATTGCCCCCCCTTGGTCACAAGAAAGATTTTAATGCAAACACCTGGATTTTGGTCATTAGCAGGCATCACAACTTCCTGTTCTGCAGCATTCGGGATGTTGCCCACAATCCAAGCGCGCAGTGCACCAGCCACAGACGCAGCAGGATTTGCTCCTTGTCCCGGGGCGTGGTTCCTCCCCATGGCAGCATGGACAGCCAACTGCTTCGTTGGTAAACATAATTGAAAACCCGGGATCCTCAGGACCAAGGGACTTTGCAACTCACAGTGCTCCTTCTGCCAGTGATTGTGGCATGGAAAAGGTTGCCATAAGTTTCGACAGAGCGTCTGCATCATTTTGGGCATATATTTTCAAGATATTGGATATTTTCCTTTCCATTCACTCCATCATGATTTTTCGTTTTGCCTTGCATGATGTAGCTAGTTTGCAAGACTACGGTTGGGTTGAATCATCGTTGAAGTTTGTTGTTGTTGTTGTCGTTGTTTTGGTTGTTGTTGAGTCGAGTCTGTCGCTGTGGTGGGTCGAACAGATCGCATGGTACTGCTGGTCTCGTTACATGTTCTAGCTAGGTAGTCTATCTCTACTCTAGCTAGCTAGAGTTTGTTGCTCGCGTTTTCGGATTGTTGAAAAGGTGTGAACTTGAACGCACAATTTCTCTAATTTAATCAATATCCTTCCGGCTCTACTGTCTAGTAGACTGGCTATTCGTTTCGTTTTCTCTTTCTCTCTCGTTCAGATTGTG